ATTTGTCTGGTGATAAAGTTGACCCACAGGAGTACCTATGAATTGGCTGGTCCAGAACATTTGCAGAAAGCTTACTTGCCTTCTCGAGAGGTCAGCATGGTCAAGAGTTACCTGGACTTTTGTCTGTACCAACCCCCAACTGATTCCTTCTTTAAGATTTCATAAATGAAGATGGGCAAGAGCTCAGAGAGAAAGTGTTATCTCTCAGTCCTCTAGGCAGTTTATTCATGTCTTCAGATTGCACGAGCTGAAATGTATCCATGATCATACAACTAGATGGTGCCATAGTCCTGCCCATCTGTGACTCTTTTATATCAACAGTGACATTCAAGTCAGTAGGGATACCAGCAACAGTATGGATATCTGCAAAATAGTCTACAAATTGGTAAGAGCAGACTTTCAAGGGTTTAAGGTGTTATATCCCAGGGTGAATAAAGAAGGAGGGCAAGAGTTGGTATGAACAACCACAAAGGTTGTGAGGTATACTTAATTGATTTATATATTCATTGCCACATCGTAAAATATCTCCATTTGGTTATAATAAAATGCATTTACAATTTGCATATCCGGGAGCCTTCACTACGGATCCCTTCATCCACTGCGCAGTTACAAAAGAAGCAGAGAAGTAAGGTGTCTCCTCTGACATCACCACCACAAAAGATCGCACATGGTTTCTTACTTGTCCCTGATCAAAGTCTGTTGATGGCTTGAGGTGCCTGCGGACAATCTATTGATCTGTCTTAAAAGGGTCTGCCAATACTAGGTTCACATGACATGCTAAGCTGGCATGGCTTCAAAGCTACAGTGGCTTAATGTGTTGTCAAAACCCAGCAATGGTAACCTCTTTGTGGTTATGAAGTCACAGCTTGTTGTAGGGTTTCTTAGCCTTCTGTGGGCTTGCTATGTTATCTGAGCACAGATAACACAAAAAGCACTTTGGGAAGCTGTCACTGACCTTCCTGTGTCTGCTACATGGGCCACCATGAGCCCGTTTGGGGCTTGAGGAGGTGACGTATGGTGAACACTATTGCTGTAGCCAGTTACTATTGCTGTCACTTCTACTCATGAAAGCTCCCCATGAGTAGGAGTAAGAGAGTGCTCTTGTGAGTTGCCTCCATCAACCACGTCCCTGCTTGCACTTGTGGACTGGCAGCAAGAAACAGCAGACAGACATAGCAGAGAAGAGGGGCAAGCTTTAGCCAGTTGGCTGAAGCTCCCTCCTTTTGGCCTCCACTGTCAGCCACATCCCTACCTGCTTTCAGGACAGTGGGGAAGAGGAGGAAGCCCTTTCCATCAGTTGGTTGAAGTTTTCTCCAATTCCCTGCCAACTTGAAATGGTAGGTGGAGCTAGCTGAAGCTTGCTCCCCTTCTTTACCTTGTCTACCTGACATTTTGCTCTGGGGGTCACACTGTGTTCTCCTGGGTCTCTTCCCTTATAGGCATAATTATTTTCTGAAAAGACCTTAATTAATGTGATGTATATCATTTTACTTAATTAATGGAGGACAACATTGGGGGTACCCATCTTACATGGTCACATGTTTTATGTTGCCTCTTCCTACCTGCTTTTGTTGTTTTCCCTCTTTACAATCCTGTACTGTATTCTGTCTTCTGCCTTGTTTTTGTATGGTACCCTCATTTCTGAGGTCTTCTAGCAGGTTTTATTCATGTACTCATGAGAGAAACTTCAGGTCTGTGTGGAAGAAACAAGAATTTGTATCTCCAACCATGCAAGATAGGGTCTGTTTAGGACACAATCCTAAGCATACTGGCTGAGGAATGCTGGGAACTGGAGAGCTTTTTTCTGTTCAGAAATGCATACCTTTGTGCCATTGTGAGTATTGTTACCACCACATAATACTAGCTAAGACATGGGTGGATTCAGGGTTATGACTTGTACATTTGGAGAAGGATAGCCACTTTTCCAGGCCTTCATTTGATCAGTGTGAAAACCAGGTTCTGTGCAATACCAAATAATCTAGCACACAAGTAAGACTATGCTAGGTAGTCTAGGCAAAGGATCTAAATCAATTCCAGTTTACAGTTGCATATATTTATTCAAGAACCAAGGAGACAGAAATTAAAAAATGGCAAGTTGTTCTTAAAATAAGTCAAAGCATATGATTAATTAACCAAGACTACATTAATTAAGAACTTAAATTCCACATATACCTCATCAAAGTGGCTTGCTGTCAGAAGAAAGAGCTCTGCCTAGAACTCCACAACATTGATACAAGAGAGCCAGTGTGGTGTAGTGGTTAAGAGCAAGGGACTGGTACTCAGACGATCTGGGTTCTAGTCCCCACTTAGCCATGGAGCCAACTGGGTGACTTTGGGCCAGTCACAGACTCTCAGCCCAACCCACCTCACAGGGTTGTTGTTGTGGGGATAAGATGGAGGAGGAGATGTAAGCTGCCTTGAGCTCTTTGTAGGAGAAAGGCAGGATATAAATCGAAAACTAACTAAATAAAATTGCTTAGTCTTAATCTTTTATTAGCCATTTGAAAACAAAGGAAGATTTCCCAAAGGTATATTTAGAGGGGAACAGACTCCCAGACAGGCATTGGACCTCCAAAATGACCAATCAGTAGTCTGAGGGAACCTGACCACACATCCTCCAAGTGGTTCTTGTATGTACCTTGCAAGGCAAGGGTATCAGCCATAAGCAAGCAGAGGGAAAAGTCAGCCTCACATGTGTAGCACTGCAAATTTCAGTGCCTGTTGATTCCTGGTTATGCCTGGTGGGATGTATTGTATCGTATTGTCAGGGTTGTATTGATGTGGGGGCAGTGAGACTGCTATTTCTTCAGAAGCATGAATCAGTCAACTGGGGAATCCTTTGGTTATCCAAGTGGATGAGTGAATACCATGGGCAGAGAATCACAGCTGAGCCAGATTGTCTCGCTGTTGTATATGCTTCAGTGCAATATGGAAATAAAGGAGGTTGCCATAGCTACATGGCCAGAGTAAATAAACAGTTTAGCTTTTATGGTGCACTCAAAAACAGATTCTCAGAAATACTAACAAATGTAGACTTCTACTCTAAACCAGGTGCACTATTACTATTTTATTTCTATACAGCCCAATAACTATTATTCCCTGGACAGATAATTTTATTAATAAAACACAGTAAGATGCAATATAAAATACAAATAACCATATGTATGTGTAAATGTCTATGTACAAAGGTTGCATTCAGGGAGGGAGGAAGATCATTCTTAACTATCATTTTAACTGAGCACATTTCAAGCAGACAGGATTAAAATAACTTTGTATGTTTTGTTGGTAAATTTGTGGTGCTTTGCTCTTGTCATATGTGTGTGCTGTTCTCTCACACTGGGACTGTGCCAGAAAAGAAGCAATGCTGTTCTGTCTTCTGCTAGTGGCATTGCTTGGCCAAAAAATATTCAAGAAAATGGAATTTCCTTTTCTGATTAATCTTGATCGTATCTTTTATGATTCTGCTGAGGCCCACATGTACCGGCACACAGTGCTCTCCCCACTGCTTGCCAAATTATTCCACAGGGATGTCTGAGGGAGAAATGGAGAGGGATGTCACTTTTACTGTGAGAAAAAAGATTGGTAAGAAAAGTGGTGTACTTTCTGCCTTGGTTCTTTAATTCTAGCTCATCTGACAAAAGAGGATTATGGGTTTTGCTCTCACCTCCATATCAGGCAGTCAATCCCCCTTCTCCACAGTTTCCTATGTACAGCTGTCTCCAGATGTTTTACTGGTTCATCTGAACATATTCCCAACCACTGCTGTAGACCTAAATAACATCACTGATCTAATACACTGGTCTACAAGGAGAAAGCCTCGGAAATGAAAGCAACTAAGTTTTACCAGAATTGGGTCACTAATAAAGGAAAATTAAGTCCTGAGTATTATGTGGCTCCAGTTTCCATGATACAGTTACAGTTCAAAATTGCATCAAAATAATTCAAAATTACAATGTGCGATTATGCTCCATGACTTTTCTGCAAAATGTGATATAGCAATGAGAATGGTCATTTAGTTCACTCTGTGAAATTAGATGTGGTTCAGGAGGAGCATATGGTGGGCTAAAGTTTGGGTCCTCTGACATCGACGGCCCCAGATCAGCTGCATCCTGCTCAGCATCTTTAGCATCATCTGAGTCTAGAGAGTAGGATTCTGGTGGATCTGGAATTGGCAAGTCCTCACCATGGGGTACAGGATGCAGCTTTGTTAGAATGTTTGGATATTCCACAGTCCACTTCTTTCTTGAGATCCCTTTTGCAATTGGGGGAACCATGCAAAAATAGCAGTTGCTATGATTGGTGGGTTCCCTCCACACCAGTGGGACTGCTAAAGGCATGGACTTTTTCTTCTTGTTTATCCAGTGATGGAGATAAGTTGCACATTTAATGCAACAATAATGAGGGCCCCAACTCTTGTCCTGATCCCCTATTTTGCATCCAAAATATAGGTGGTATGCCTTTTTTACCATTGCCGTCATACTGCACTTTTGAGATGCAAATGTAACCTCGCCACAAATGTAGCAAAAGTTATCTGCATTGTTTACAGTTTTGAGGCATCTTGGCTTCTGAGGGAAAATATCATGCAACTGTTCCTTGGAAATGTTAGGCAATGACACTTTCACAAGCCACCAGGTGTAACTGTATGATATGTAGATCCGACCAAGACAAATGTACCTTGCAATAAAAGAACAATAATGTACAGTTAGGTAATAATCTTTAGTCTCAAAGTGAAGATAAATTTATACACTTCCATGTGGTACCATTTTCATTGTTCTACTTAATTTGTCAAGAAGTTACAAGGCATCATGATCATCAGACACCTCCCTCCCTTGTAGGCAAATATACTCGCTTGTGTATAAATCTTTATTGTGAAATATCTTGAAAACTTTAGCCAAACAGCACCTCTACCACTTGTTTTCTAATTCATCTAGTCAAAATATGTAAGAATTAGCACATTTTATCTTGGAGGCCTATAATTTCCAAAAATCTGTAGACCAGTGTTACTTTTCCTTCCAAGCTTCCCGCAGTGTAACTTTCACTTTGAACTCTGGTGCTTGGAGCACAACACCAAATTTGCCCACTGGTTCAGGTAATACATGGCCTTCAGGGACACTGAGTGTGAATCTTTGCAAGGTCCAAGCCAGAAAGAGAAACAGCTCCATCTTGGCCAGAGCTTCTCCCAAGCAAACACGAATACCAGCTCCAAAGGGGAAGTAACTGGGTGAAGGAGAGTAGATTCGGTTTCCATCTTCATCTAGGAATCGACCTGTTTGCGGAGGACACAAATATCTCCCTAAGAAACATGTCAAGCTCTATCATAAATGTATAATGCTGGTAACAGTTCAGTAAACATGATCAAAGGAAGGACAAAGTAAACAAGTGAATATTCAGAACCTTCCTAAAAGCCTCCAATGGTGGGAGCTCATGGATCCCTGACAGCAACTTATTCAAAAGGTATGGGGCAACTACAGAAAATACCCTTTCTCAATACTTAGCCACCTAGTTGCCCTCAAACTTGGGAAACAGAAGAATTTCATTTTATGTATGTAAGCCATCCTGAGGCCTTCGCGACAGGACAGCATATAAACATAATAAACAAACAAACAAACTGCCCAGAGGGCCCTGTGGGCTATGGGGTAATATATAAACATAAATAAATAAATACATTTCTGTTGTTGAGCTTAAAGTCTGGGCAGGTTTATATGGATGAAGGTGGTAATGAGCCTAGTGGGGAAGAAGAAAAGACAAGCCAATGTTTCAAGCAGCCATCCCCAATGAGGTGCTCTCCAGATACGTTGGACAGCAAATCCCATCAGCTAGCATGGTCATGCTTGCTTGTGGTGATCAGAGTTGTAGTCCAACACATCTAGGGATAGTTGATCAGGGACAGCTTATTTAAAACATAAAGAAAGATGGTGCATATGCTTAGGAGTACCGATACCCAAGAGAATGTGAGAAGTTTCTGGACTAGGAAAAATATGGCAGCAAGATCAAAGGTCAATAGATAAAGTGTGTTGTGAAAGCACCTCTTCTGGGCAATAAGCAAATTTGAACCAGGGACTCCCCCACCCACCCAACATGAAGAGGAAGTATGGAATGCCCACCTGGATTAAATTCCTTTGGTTTGTCCCACTCTTTTTCATCATGGTGAATGGACCACAGGTTGATTATAACATGAGTTCCTTTAGGAATAATATATTCCCCAATGCTGCAAATAGACAAACACCATTAGTGCTTTCCTCTGAGTAGGAGCATTACTACAATCCCCCTCCCATTGACTTTCTGGCAGATCTCTAGTGAAAATGGTGATCACCTTGTGTCCTCCAAGGCCTCATGTGGGATAAGGAGTGGGGCGACAGGCTGGATACGCAGAACTTCACTAATGGTAGCTTCCAAGTAAGGCAAGTGCTGACGGTCCTTGAGTAGGGGATATCTGTTAAAGCTAAGGACTTTTTCTAGTTCATCATGGATCTTTTGCTGCACCTGCAGAGTGGGGAGGAATGGAGCATGCCAGACTGTGATAGCAGCAGGTTAGAGAGTCTACAACTCCAACTTTTCTCGTTGTAATCTATTTTCACTTTCTTATTAACTGGTCAGGCCATCCGAAAGTGAAAAGAAAGTGACTGACACATTGAGTAGTTTGCCAATAAAAGAAGGGAACATTGATCTCCGAGCAAGTGAGCTGCCACCACACTCGCTGAACGCCACCTCGCGCACACCCGACAATGCCTCACCGGCCTGTGTGCCCAGGTCCCCCCTCCTCACCGGCCCAGGCATGTATCCACTGCCTTTCAACTGGCCCCCTAGTGAAAAAGTTTGAGGACCCCTGATTAAGAGCCTATAAACTCAGAGTACTAATTATATAAATTGTGCGCGAGTAAAGAACAGTTGCTGACCAATTTTGTAGATTCAGTAGCTGCCTATGGCCAGGACCAAGATCAAAGGTCCCCACCCTTGGTAGGGCTTACTGACAACAATCCTATTCACCATTGCAACCCACATGTTCACCTGCTTTTTCTCTGGCTAAGACAACAGTGGCAGAGAGAAAGGAGAGCAACAGATGCCATTGCTACCCTTTCTCATGGGCTCTCTGTCTACCAAGCAGATAAGTAGCAGCAGGAATGATGAAGGGGATGGAAGAGTAAGACTATCTGATGAGAATGAAAGTGAGAAGGCAGACTCACTTAAGGCAGGTGTCCATTGAGAGTATCTTGCCCAAAGGCCCTCAAAAACTGGGCATTGGCCCTCAAAAACTGGGCACCAGCCCTAGCTTATTGTGATATGAATGCAGGGGTTTGGGTTTTCCACAATCCAGGAATGTAAAGCATACTGTAAGAATGAATACATTAGCCATAGGACGCTGGACATCTATAGAGCCAGAGGACATTGCTTGGGATCTGTCTATATAAAATGCATAACACACTGGCTGTGAGCATGGAGGGCTATTTTCCATACATTTCCTCAAAATAAAAGAATTGCATTGGAGACCCCTGACATTAATTAAAGACAGTCTAGGTTTGGTAGAATTCGCAGCATTTCATATGCACTCATGCTGGTTTGGGGAATGCTGGACTTGTAGGGATTTTTTCCTGCCAAAATATGCATAGGACCGCACCCTAAACTAGATTCTCTCTCTGTTTCGCATAACACACTATCAATATATACCATTTTCAGAACAGACAGAGGTAGGCTGTGCCATGTTTGGGTAATGTAGTGTTACCTCTGGGTAATGTAGGAGGTAGAGAATGCTCCACTTCAGCACTGTAGCGGTGGTCTCCACACCGGCCCCAAAGATGTCTGCCACTGTCATGAGCAGGTAATCATCTGTCAGCTCCAGCCCAGGCAGGAGATGGCTGTTGTTGTTCTCCGTGTTCAGTTTGGCTTTCAGGAGTACATCCATGAGGTCATTGATAGAATCATTGTTGAACGTTTCCTGGGAAGGAAAAAGGGGTATTTTCGAAGTTTATTACTAGCATAGTATTATCTCATGATATGAAGGCCAGCAGAAGGAGATGCCTCCCTGCCCCTGCTAGCCAGAGATGCCACTTAGGTCCCTGCCTGCAGAAGACAGGCTGCCGGTGTCAGGGACAGGAGGGAAGTGTCGTCTCAGCTGAGCAACATTCCCTTCCCAATGGCAATCTGTAGAACTTGCTAGTTCCCTTTAATATCTATGGCCAAAAGGTAAAGATCCACATTTGAATTTGTATTTGAGGTGAGGACAATATACTGCACACCTAAAATGGATGATCCCAGTGTGTGAAGAAGGGGTGGGCAATTCTCAGCTTGCTCTCTCTAACCTGTATGAGTCAGGGGGAGTTACTGATTTGTATGGGAGAAAATAAATGTTACTACTGGGGACAGAGCTAAGGCACACACATGTCCCCTAGTGAGCACTGTGTCAAAGGCATAAGTTGGATTCATTTTTATGGCAGAAAGTCAACAAGTTGGAAAGGGAAGGGTTCCATTCTCACAGTTCACCCTGTTGCCTTGCTCCATTTGTGAGGTAAGGCAGACTCCTCTCCCTAACTTCAGCAATGGCCTCCCTTCCCTAGTTCAGCAGAAGTGGTTGAGAAGTGAAGTTGCTGAGGTGACAGAAAGGCAGAGTGTGTAGAATACCAGGCCCATGTTCATTGTCAATATAACTCTGCCCACAATTTCATTAGTTAAATAAACAAACACATCTCTGGAACGGGATTCTGGCTTTTAGGGTGACAACCCCCCTGCCCCAGCAGCATTTTTCGCTTCCCAATGAACCTGTGAAATAAGTTTGGGTGAGTGGGAGGGGTCTGCACAAGGATAGTTTGTGAGAAGAGAACTAAAATGGGATTTGCCACACCTAACCACAACAGAAGACAGCAGGAGAGGCAATTGCTACCTGACATTACACAAAGAAAGGCAGATTTTAATTGTTCTGAATAGATAAATCTGCCTTTGCTGTCATCACCCTTTAGAGGGCAGAGTCAGATAATGTAATATTACAACTGCACCTGGTATTCCAGTTCTGTCGCTGTATGGACAATGTTGTTTTACTTATAAGCCTGATTGTATTGCTGTGAATCTCTTTGGGAGGAAAGTTGTATAAAAATAATTGTACATCTGCTGAGGAGGCACAACACAGGTAGGAGCATATCAGATCTCTTTTCTACATGCTTTATCCATCGTCTAGTCATCGCTACTCCCACCCTCTCCCTCAGGGAGCAGTGGGAGGAGGAGATGCTTCTGCCTTGTGTGCTCATCTTTCTTTCCTCATCCCCAGTTGAAAGGGTGAAAAAGATGTGAAATAGGATCCTTGTTTAGGCCAGCATTCTTTGTTTATCCCTCCCTTTCTTCTACGTAGATTCCAAATTCATTACTTTCATCTTTGGCATGAAGTTTTGATCTGCACATCTTGGCACTTCCCCAGTTCCTTGATCTTTGATTTTTGCACCTGTTGGTCTTTGTATATATATTTAAAATATTTATTGGCCACCTTTCAGGGCAGGAGACTTCCTAAGGAAGTACACAACAATAACATTTGCAAAGTAAAAACCAATGTAATAATAACAGTAAACATTCCAAGAAAACAACCACCAGCATAAGATTAAATCTATAATACACAATTGCAGCCTCAGCTATCGCTGGCAAAACATAAACAGGGAAAGGCCAAAGTAAACAAATAAATTCTCAGTTGCAATGGTGAGGCCTTTGCTGCTCTACAGCTCCCACCTTTGAATGGAGATACTTACTTTATGCTTTGTAAACTGCTTATATAGGAACTCGTCTCTTGCTTTCAAACTCTTCTTTAGCAAGGCTAATTCTTTATTGGGAAAGAACTGGAAAAAAAAGCAAAAAGCAAAATAAACACCCCCATCATGCCAAATATACTGCCTTTCTTGGCATCAGATCAGAACTGACTTCCTAGAACCCATGTCCTAGTCCCTGCCATGGAGGTTTGGGGAGAAGCCAGATTTGTTACCTCCAATGAACACTGTTTTTCCAATAGAAAAGCAGATGCTTCCATCTGATTCTTGCACCCTGCACATGACACCAAGTCCCATATAACTCAGTATGATTTCTCTTCCAGTAAAGCCTTTCCAGTAAAGCCTTTCACTTTCCATCCCCCTGCCAAAATACATATTCTGTGCAGGCCTGAGCGCACACACACACAAGAACAAAAATATTGAACAGATAACTATGAATCTTGTCCTTTTGAACAGCACATTTCCCCCCAACAATTTAAGCTTTTTTTTCCTACACAGAACTCTAGGGCATCTGGGATAGGAAATCCTGTTACCCACTGATAAGAATGTGCTTAATCTAAAAGTGGTATGTCTCACCTGCCTCTGCTAGTGAAGAATGGCAAATCAAGGGAAGAGTAATGCAATAAGACTGACAGATTATTAATAGATCTAAGGCAGCAAATATACCCCTTAAGTGATTTGTGGATCATTGCTATGGTCTTCTCTTGCTGATGCCTCTGCATCGATATGTGTCATTTCATTGCATCCTCTTTCCATTAACTCTCACCTGAAGCCATGGGAAGATATCTACCAGGCTATGCTTGAATGTCGTGTCCACAATGCCCTTGCTGTATTTGAGAACATTTTCAAGCTCAGGATCTCCACGCTTGTAGGAAGAGTTAAAGCAGAGAGAACACACCACATTTGTAACAGAACATGTCAGTTCAGTTCCTAAGTTCAAGGGTGAATCCTGTGCAGCAGCCAGATTTTCACACAAGGAAGAGGCTTCTGTGCAGACTGGAAGAAAAACATGGAAGAAGAGATGCACAAAGGCATGGTGAATCATTTAGCAGAAGGTGGGGAAAGGAGATATGAACTGGGGTTAACGGATCTGGCAATGTGGTAGTGGTACCCAGCTATGGAGAGAAAGCTTATCTGAATTACGGCACATGTTGCATTAGATGTCTCAAAATGGGGAGGCCAGGGTTTAAGCCCATCTCCTCCACAGGCTTTATCTTTGATCTTGAAGACATTGTTAGTTCCCATTCTTAATTTTGTTGCAGTGAGGGGGTAATACTGATGATAATAGGCCAAAGGAAAAATTTAAAAGATTCTGGCCTGGTTCACAAGAAAGAACAAACCAGTAAGGGTTAATTTCTCTGCAGAGTTTCTTGTCAGAGAAACAGTTGCCATTTTGAATATTTGGGGCATAACAGGGGCACACCATGTCCATCTGGAACCCATGGGCTTTATTAGGGTTGTGGGTGGCTTGTAAGCCACCCCAGCAATCCAAACGTGCTAGGTTCATGCATAACAAGAAACTACAGTACGTTGCTGAATATTCAAAATGGCCCCTGCCAGGATGGAAAGCTACACAGGAATATTAACCTATGGTGACTTCTCATCATGTGCGAATTGTCTAAATCATATGGATGCTTTTTCCAGTTGCCCACATGACACTTCCCATTCCTCCATTTTGAAGGGACTGTCCTCAGCTCTCAAACAGGCTTGCAAGGCTGGCTTTCATGATTTTAATAAAAAGGTTTAAATAGAAAAAGAGCTGCACCGTGTCCAAAATGGCTTGCAGCCATGGGTGGGGAGTGGAAGAAGCCAGTGCCAGCTGTCCCCAAGTGCTAGTTAGGCACATTTGGGGTGGCTGGCAATGAGAATCATCAAAGACCTGCTTGAAAAGAGTAGCTTGTCACTCATGCCAAGCAACTATGCAGCCTGGTCCCCAGTACAGAGAAGGTGGTCAATTGCTAAGGTTCACATGACGCAACAACCTATCATAGGTACAACAATGCCCACTACAATCTATGCAGTCTGCTCAAACCAGCCACTCTGTAGGAATTGATTTGGGTTTACATGACACAATCCACTATGGGTTAGCAAGCCAAACAAATCCAGTCAGTATATCTTTCCTCTTAAAGGTATCTCCCCTATTCTGTATTCCTTCTGAGAGGGCATTCCATTTCCTAACCTCTGCCCCTTCTTCTGCCCTTTTCTGTTGCTTCACATTCCATAGCTAATGAGCTCGCTCAGTCTTCATTCTGTATTTGTGGGGGATTGGCTCCTTTTTCAGTGTCCTGTCGACAGCCCTTATAATATTCATTATCCCAGGTTGCTTGTAGAAGAAGTGATGAAAAATCATGGGGAGTTTTTCTCCCACAATGAATAACCTCACTGTGATCTCTCTGTCTTCAAAGGAAACTGGTATAACATAATGGAAAGATTATACCTGGGAATTAGAGTAGATTATGTACTAAAAGTTTTGTTATAATTTATTCAACCATTATCTTTCTGAAATGCCTAAAATGTTTGTATTAAGTATCCATGCTATGTATACAGCTTTTCCATCATTCCTAACATATGCCTAATTTTATACCAGGAGAAACTGTTTTAATAGAACACATATGTTTATCTAGTTTGGAAGCATGTAGTGATAGTCACCACTAAATGGTAGAGAAGGACAAAGCAGGACAATGTATTCACTGTTCTGCCTTGCTTTCACTTTCCAAATTTGACTTTACATAGCTGCATTCCACTAATTTCATTTAAAGCAAGATCAAGTCTAATGTGAGTTATGTAGAACAGAACTGAGAATTCCAATGACTCCTTTATGACGTTTTCTTCTTCTCCTCCTCTTAACAAAACCGGGCTGCAATATATATGAAGGGCACCACAGCCTGCCTAAGGGGGATATTGTCCAGCATATTCTTATTATTTTTCTTTGTTCCAGTGATCATGCTTTTCCTGCACATATTCAGTTGGGGGTGTCCTGCTTTATATGATAGACTTTTTGTTGCTTCTAAAGATATGTAGTACTAACTTTTTCATATTACATTTTACAATTCTCAGGAAGACCATTACACTATGGGTAAATGTTACATGGTGAACCCCAATAGTCTGCGTAATGACACAGAAACACAGAAAATGAAGAGAAAGCTTATAAGCAATCTGCTTTGGTTTATCAGCAACATCACCATCATATCCTTATGCCTCAATTTCTGAAAAGTTTGGCTCTAGAAATAGATCTTTTTCCCAAGAAGAGCCTATTTACCCAGAACAAACCAATCAGTATGTTATGTGCAGAGCCATGGGATGCAGATACTTGTACCATTGGAAGGTTAGGTGGCCAAACGCAACTGCATTCTAAGGTATAGCATTCAACATTCTACCAGTGGTTGAAAAGAGACAATAATTTACAGCTGAGTGCAGGTATCTTTAGAAGAGGGAGTGGATGTAGACCTTTTCGGTGTACTCAATCCTGGACCCTTCATCCTCAACAGACACACATAATTTGTTCCAAATAGAATTCTGTTGCCATCCCATCCCCACCCCAAGTTTCTGGCGGGCTGACTACATGGGGTTTTGCTTGGCTTGGTTAAGAACCTGCATGTTTATCTGCTCAAATATTCATTAGACTGTCTCTCTTTCTACCTGGCTGTTTGCCCTCTCTCCCCCCTCTCCCCCCCACCTCTCTCTCTCTGTTTTATTTTCCATATTTTTCCCAACTTAGAGTATCTTTTCAACAAGACAGGGAGGGAGCTGACTTCAGTGCTGTGCACAGTTCTGAAAAAGAGAGAGCTGGTTTCACCAATGAGAAGAGGTGGCATTGTGCAAATCCTGCTTCAGGAGCATGTTCCACCCTGAGCTCCCTGTGGAGGAATAAAACTGATGATGCATGTATGCAGCCTGATCATTGTAGAAGTGGTATGAACATGTATTTCCTGCCCTCAGATGTCTTAGAAGGCAAAAATTGTTCAAACCAATTCCAGCACACCTAAAATGTTGTGTCTGCCTTCACCCAAAAAGGGGCAGGCTAACCTAACCTTTTATCCACAAGCATTTTGGCAGAACCTTCTCTCCCCATCTCCCTTTGTTGGCTTTCCTTGGATCACTTACTTATTTTCTCAAGGGCCAGAGTGCCCTCCCCAAACATGTGAAGTGCAGAGTGCACGAGCTTGCGCTGCATTTTCCATAATGGGCTGTATGAAGCAAAGGCGATGTCCTTTCCATTCAGTGTTAGCAAGTCTGTGGTCACCTTGAATCAATGGAGGGGGTGAAAAAAGAAGAAAGAAAATGTTACTCTCTTTCCAGAATACCTGATGGTGCAATGAGTAAGACTATCACATGCTTTCTGTTTTCTCTGAGAGGGACCCCCATGCTCATACACACTACCACATTTGACAAAGATTGCATAATGTAAGGCATTTCAGATAAAGAGATTACTTGGAGTCTCATTGATGCAGGTCCCTCATCCACTAAATATCAGTGCAAATCAGTTTTCTTTTTCTGTTCAGAGCTGAGGGAAGGGGTTCCAGATAGCGGTTTCCTAGTGCCGCAAATCAGAAGGTATTGTGCAGCAATTCCATCTTTGACAGTGTACAGTGAGAAAAAGAACAGAGGAAATGATGGGAAAACACAGGAGGGCTACCAATGGAAGGCTATATCATGTGGACACACACCTCACCAATAACATTCCATGAATGAGGTGACAGAAAAAAAGGCTAATAAAGGCAGCCAAAATCAGCCAACAAGATAAAGGCCTTTTTGCCTGTTTCTAATTCATATTAGTCTTTGGAACCAAAGTTCCTAGGGGTGGCAAGGAGATAAGAGAGAGGAGGTTGAGGGATTCAATTCTCCTCATCAATATGTCCCTTTTCATGTTAAAATGAACCCCTGTTCCTGTTTTATAGAAGAATAGCATATATGTGATCAACATACATAGCTGACCCTGGGGGGATCTACATGGTACCCCCTCTGTTTATGAAAGATCACAGTTATGGTATTTATATGAAATACATTTATCACATTTGGGCCATATGCTAATGAATACATATTTGAAAACATGAGCGTGTATCACACACAAATGCAATTGTGGGAGAAGTCGGGGAACTAGAAAGAAGATGAATACAGAGTAAAGGCCCTTAAGGTTCACTTGTTCTTGTGTTTGTTTGCTTTTAGCTCAATTAACTATGCAAAGGACAAAGGGGCAAAGAAGCAGAGATATTGAAAACAGGGAGTAAAAAAGTGGACTTGCCTCTTGCCTCCCCATAAAATACCATGCAGAAGTGGCAATGCTGCTTGCTTCTGTCCTCCCATTTCTCATGGGTGAAGTAAGTGAGCCCAGCAAACCCATTCCCCTCTAAAGCAAAAGAGTACTACCCCTTCCTCTGTGCACTTTCCCATAAGTTAACTCCATTACAGAGAGAACAGAACATTGTCCTCTTGTCTTTAATAGCAGTCTCTTCCATATTTTAGTTCTGTTATAATTTCAGTCCTCAGTATTAATTTCTTGAAACAGACTATGCCCACAGCATAAATATATTTACAGAACAGTATATACATGTATGTATGTATGAATGTATGTATGTATGTATGTGTTCTCTCTCTCTCTCTCTCTCTCTCTCTCTCTCTATATATATATATATATATATATATATATATGAATTTTCTCAAAACTGTTTTATTGTATTATGCTTTATTGTTAACTGCAGTGTTCTCATCTATCGTTCACACCCATAATGCTGTCCTCCTTGCCCTCATATACCACCTGCCAATTCTACACAACATTGTCACCAGGTAGGAGCTATTTTCAGGCAGCATCAATGGTTTGGGTAAAGGGATGTGCCTTGATCCAGTAAGGGAGAACTTGCTTCCACATGTGTCATTGATGCATACGCAGTGAGGTATTTGAATACACATAACAATATCAGTCTGGGCCCCATTAAATTTGCAGGATGTACCCCTTCATGTTGTTGCTAGTTGCTTTGTCCCATATAACTACTTGTGTACAACTAGAGCTAGCACTACTGGTGTTTCCCAGCAACTGCTACTGAGGGGCATACTGCCTCAGGTACCTGAAGTTGCGCATAGCCATCGTGTGGCGCTATCTATGAATTTCTCTAGGTCCCTTTTAAAGACACTGGTTGACAGTAATCACATCATCCGGTGGTATTTAAATGCACAGAAACAAGTTAGAGCTAAAGAGCATGTATTATTATAAGCTTCCTACATTCGAAAAAGATAATAACTACTCAAGAACTTGTTATTACTATTATTTGGGAAAGTAGCACCCTAAGTCCCATTTATAACATAGTAGTCTAGAAAGTAATCTGGGTTTAGGACCCAGCAGCAAGGAAGAAACAATCTTTCCTGCCTTGTGACTAAGACATTTGGTTCACAGTTTCTGCTCATAATCTAGTGACATTACTCATTTTATTTTCTCACCTCTTCTGCTTAGACAGCAATATTCATGGTCAAAATCAGGGCTTTTGATTTTGCTATTGCCACACATCCTATAATCCCTAACCCTTAATTGTATGGGCTGGTTTTGTTCTTGGAATCTCGACCATATCCAGAGGGAAGGACCTTCTGGGCATAGGTAAAAGAAAGACATTCAAAGTTTTCTTACCGTGTGAGGTCTCCCGCCAAAAATTTTTCCTTTCTTATGCAGCACTTCTTTGGCATGTTGATAGTTGTTGACCATTACTACATAGTTAGAACCCATGTAGAAGGAGTACAAGCTGCCATACTTCTGTTGCAGTCTGCTGAATAAGAGGTGGAGCTGTGGGTCCCTAACAAAATGCAACAGGCTCCCAATTATTGGCAGGGAGGGCAGACACCTGGGGTACTTGTGCTTGGATTCCTGCTTTCTCTTTGCCACCTTCCTGAGGGATAGGAGTGCTAGCATGAGGAGCAAGGCAATCAGGAGAGCCATCATCTTCTTTCACCTGGCTGGAGATTTGATTAACAATTCAGGAATCAGAGGTCTGGGAACTCTCCCTTCAACCACCAGAACTCTTGCAGTCTTATAAAGATTTGGAGTGACATCACTTTGCCTTGGGATTGCTCCCTGCCTTGCTAGTTAATCACTGGGAGATAATTGTAATCTGAAATATGAATTCAGCCTTGCCTTTTGCCAAAAGAGGCAAATGCAAAACTGCAACTCATCATCGAGTTAAAGGTTTTTTTTGTTCCTATGCTAATAACCCTCTTTTATAATCACTTTAACATTTATAATCTACTTTTCCACCTAAATGATAAGCTGCAGGATTGCAATACAAAGCAAGGACCATTAGGTAAGAGGGCTGGGTTCAGATGCAATCTGTCTTCAGGAGAATGATTCAAACTTCTCCTTCAAAAACTAGCAGCAGCATTACATATATATATTCCGCTGGATACAACATAGGAAAACAAAAACAGGCTGTCCCTGGCTTGGCACAGCCCTAAGCAGCCTATGGAGGAGTGAACACTTCTACTACCTCTGCCGCTACCTGGGCAGCTGTAAAAGAGCCCTCTCTATCACACAAGCTGTGTGCTGCTTTCCCCAGCATTTCCACCCTCCAACATGTTTCTTTTGAAAAGAAAGGAAGCAGAGTCCTCCCCTTGCCCTGATTAGCTATCTTCATGGGCCCAGAATGAGTGTCAATATTCTGTTGCAATCCTGACATCTCATTTTCTGCTTTAAGTTTGCCTCTTGATATGCAATTTCTTGCTATGCATTTGACAAGAAAAGTCAGAGAGAGCCTGCTGGGAATGTACAATTAAAGGAACATTTATAGATTATATACACATATCTGGCCAGGGCGACTTATTTTATATTGTTATTTTTTGTATTTTAACTTTATGTTGTGAGCCGCCCCGAGGCTTTGGCGAATGGGGCGGCATAGAAATGTTTTAATAAATAAATACAGGAAATAGGATGTAGGTAGCCACTGGAGGGACTACAAAGATGAACTCTGTACAGGATGCCTTTATAACCTATTGGTTATGTATACAGTTTGGATAAGAGTGGGAGATCACATGAGAGTAAAATAATAGGAATGAATGTGATTGAATCACCCAAAACAAAAGGAAGAACTTTCAGAACAGCCACATTAACATATCTAAGGGGTACATGGAGAGCAAGACTTGTAACATAGTTTCCTGATCAGATCAGGAATCTCACCTTAAATCTAAAGCTACTCTTTCAGTGTCAGGTTTTCAGTAGCCACATTCTGGCAGAGCTTTCATTCATTTTGTTCTGCCATGTTCAAGAGAACATGTACAGTATATACTCTCATATACCTTGTGCAGCCCTTCTACAGAGTCTAAGCTTGCTTGTTAAACATGCTATTCTTCTGTTATCGACATGCAATATCTGTGGTCCTACTTGTTTCATGAAAGTAATCCTTAGCAGGTTATTGTTTATTCCTGGTCTATATAAATGGCCCTCCAGAAAAACAAAGCCTCAGTGCTCAGTGGCTAGATGATGGAATCCAGCAAGGTGTCTTGTGGCATCACTGATTCGTTCCACATCCATTATATTCTTTTCATGCAGTAGGCATCATAAATCACACACTGTACTTCTGAAGTAAAAGATTTTGTGAAAGAGATAGGAAATTCATGATGCTGGGCTATTCCAAGAGATAGATAAAATATTGATTTGTGTTTCTTGTACCTTGAGTTTTTCCCCAGTAAGAAAGCCATTTAATATTAAATGGATCTTTAGACAAAAATGGGAGCATGCCAATTACTGGGAAATTAAAGAGTGATAACCATTAGAACCAGCTACAGTTCTTAACAAAGATAGCTATTTATTAGCCAATGGTCAAAGCTGTCCCAAACTGGGGAAGATGCTCAGGCACTTAGAGCACAATTTTATGAAGACTGAGATAGGAAAAAATCCTACAAACAGGGCATGCTGGGAATTGTAGGACTTTTTCTGTCTAAACAGACAAAGAATATAAAGAAATCCTTCACAAAGAAATAATTCTTCTAGGAACTAACCTAGAGGAAGCACCTTTTCCAGTGCTCTCATGACAGTTTACCAGACGATCAGGGATGATTCTCCCACCTCTTTTAAATGGCTGTTTCTGGCTGTTTACTTTCTCCCCACAACTCAATTTCCCACTGATTCCAAAAGGAGGACATGAACTATGTCAGCTCCTTAGTTCCCCCTGTTCTAAGGATTAGATTTAGATTCTGCTTCTCCTGAATTCACCTTGCCTTCATTCCCAGATGGAGGTAAAAATATTTCCTTTCTGAGTGAAGGTGGCACCACTCAGCACACTTTTCTTTCCCTGGGTGAAGGTGGCTGCAGGCACCTTTCCTTGCTTTCTCGTCCCTTAGTGTGAAGCATGTAGGCAGGTGTTAGCAACAGCAGCAGCAAACAAAGCCATAGCCAGCAAGCATTGCTCATGATACCTCTTCTTTCAATTCCCCCACAATTTCTTGGGGTCCCCAACTTCGTGTGGCAATTGAAATAGCAGGCACCAGCAACAGTGTGTATTTGCTACCATTTTGCTTCTGCTTATACATGCTGAAAGGGAAATTGGATGGTGAATACCTAATCGTGCCAATTCCTGAGGCTGGGTTTTGAAGCACGGCACTTCACCGGCTTTACTGAGAAAGCAGCTCCATAGGCTTTTCCTTCCTCACAACTGTCACCCATGGACAGCTGTTCCATCAGCTGCAATAGAGGGAGAAAGGGAGGCAGACCACTCAAACTTTCTCCATTAGCTTCATTCCTTTTACAACCATCATTTGAGAATATCCATTCCATCAGGCTTCAGCAAAGGAAGAAATGGAAAACAGAGACAGCATCTGAGAGAACAGCAACATTTGGCTACTCCCATTCTTTAAGTGGTGCTTTCATCCCAGTTGTTTGTCATATAATGTGTAGCTAAGAATCCGTTTGTCACCAATTGTTACTGATCAGATTGTTACTGATCTTTGTAAGCTGCTCTGTGAATCTTTTTCAGTTGAACATGTCCTAAATTAATGAATAAATCTCTAAGCTACCCATAATACAGAATAGGGCAGGCCTCAGAGCTAGTGTGAGACCCTGCTGGGTCTCCTTGATCCCAATACAACACACTCACCAATAAAATCACAGTGGCACAACTGCACTGCTGCTATTCCCACAGAGCAGCATACAGAACCATTTTACTTATTGAATGATCTGAGTGCTGGTAAACAACAACCTACCCATAAGGATTTCCCAGGATGACACTGGCCAGGTTCACATGACATGCTAAGCCACCATGGCATAGCCATCTAGAATAAATGCCGGGGAGAGAGAGGGAAGGAGGTTGGGAACCCACAGGAATTGGCATAAGTCCTCGGCTCCAGCCTCTTCTCTTTTCCTGCCCCCAGCATGGGGTTTTCTACCTCTCCAAGACCCAGCTGAGTCCCCGGAGAGGCAACAACTGTGGTTCTTTCTATGCTGGCTGAGAGGGGGGTGAGGTGGCAACTTAACTTTTGGAGTCCCAGTTTCAAATTCACAGGACCTTGGAACTGGAACTGTGAATAATCCTATAACCCCTGAAACAATATCAGGAAGCCATACTGTGCCTTAAGTTATTTTAATTGAGATACATATTATGGCTCATGTGGCTTCATGACTGTAATAGCAATAAATATAGAAGGAAGGAAATCCAAAAGTTGTATGACTTTTGGTATGGAACGTAAACATCAGTGTGCACAGATATTCAACAACTATTCAAAATGGCACTTGTGTGCATGGTCAAAGAATTATGATTGCCTGTAAATAAGTTTTATTTATGAGTGATGCAATCAAAGCCACAGCATTAACATCTGCAGAAGGTAACCCTTCACTGAACAAGAACTCCTGAAGAAGAATTAGGACTCTCCTGAGGAAGCTATTTCTTTTTCTTGTGAAATAACTTGAACAATTTCTGCTTTCCTGACATTGGTAAACAATTGTGCAAGTGCATGCATACACATCTTTTTAAAATGACACTATTTGTATACCACCAGATACAAGCAGTGTCTGGCCTGGTGAACAATACAAATCTAAAACATTATAGAGCACTATACATTAAAAACAAGATAACATTCAAGCTGTAGCTGGTAAGAAGAAAGTCTTCCCAGAACAATGATGTCTTCATCAGGCTTTGAAAGCAGCACAACATTGGTTCCTGCCTGATATCCAGAGGCAGGGGATTCCATGGAAAAGTAGGGTCCACACTGAAGTTTCTTTTCTTGGTGGACTACATTTGGGCCATGGGTCCATGTGGAACCAGCAGAAGAATGTCTTCGATGAACTCGGGAAGGTTACGGTATAAGGTGTTCTCTTGGGTGCCTTGGCCCCAAGTTATTCAGGGCCTTGTACACTAATACTAGAATTTTAAAACTGGTGGAGTAGCAGTCAGTGCAATTCCTTCAGCAAGGCAGTTACATGCGAAAAAGGGGTAGTTCCTGAGAACAGCTAAAACTGTGCACTAGCTCCAGCTTCTAGAGAAGCCTTAAGGACTGCCCCACAAGGAGCGTGTTGTAGTAATCCGGTGCTTGTATCACTGTGGCCAAACTATCTCTGTCCAGCATACACCAGAAAACCAGGCAGAGATGATAAATTGCTCTCCAAAACACCATAGTCACTTGGAACTCCAGTGACAATGACAGATCTGGGAATAACCCCAGACTACAAACTGATCATTCAGAAGGAGTGCAGTCCCATCTAGAACAGCCTGTCTCCTAGATTTGGGAACCATACACCCACAGGACTTCCCTCTAGTCAGGATCCAGCTTGAATTTACTGTCACTCATCCAACCTATCACTGAGTCTTGACATAGTTCTATGAGGGTTCTTCAAAACGATTCCATACTTTTTAAAACTCTATTAAGAATTTCAAAAAACAAATCACATCACTTTTCTACATAGTCACCTTCTTTGCGACACATTTTTCCCAGCATTGTACCCACTTTTTAATGCCATCAGTAAAAAAATATATGAAACATATTAATAAAATATAAAAGTGCGGAAACCTTTTGAATATCCCTTGTATTATTGATTGGGGCTGTCCCCTGAAGTTCTGCCTAAATACATGCGTACAAACGGTTTTGCCTTGTGTGCTGTATTCTTAATAAATATTGCTGTTTTGTTTTTCAAATCTATTTGGCCTGTTTCCTGCAGGATCTGACATATCTCAAGGCAATGGATAAGAGATGCCTTCTTAATGATAAAAACAAGACTGAATGTTCTGCAACATCAGATAAGTTATACAAATGAGACCTGCTATAACTATGGTCCAAGTTATCCTTTCATCCAGTATCCCGAAGTACCATTCTAGCATTGGAATTATTCAGATGTGTCTATTTAGGGAGTTAAATAAAATATAGAACGTTAATGCATGCTCTTATCCATGGACAACCAATTTAACCCTTTTAGGCTTGTATTGTATGCTTTGCTAGGGAGGTTGATTAAGGGCACAATGCTATTCACATTTGGAATGATGGGAGTGTCAAATATGCTCTGACACTCCCATCATCCACAGGCAACATGACCAAGCTGATCCAAGGTGCATAAAGGTCTAAATTTTTATAAAGCAATTGTTGTGAGTTAAGTGGGGGTAGGAGTTCCTGTATAGCTGTCAGTGTAAACTACAGAAGTCAGGCTACAGAAGCCTGCAGACTTCACCTTGCCTACAAAGAACAAAGAGTAGCTTATGCAGCAAGAATCATAACTCTTCTTCTGATTTACCAGCTCAATTAATATATTTCAGTTAACTATGGATGTATTTACATATTTATTCATTACATTTGTAATAGGAAAATATACATTTTGGGGTAATGTCTGTCTTCTTAAGCACATGCTTGTTTGATCTTTAGTCCTGTGCAAGTTTAGACAGAACAGAGGCCTAGAACTTCCAGCATGCCCTAGCCAGCCGAGGTATTAGCATTTCTGAAGGTGCCATTTCAGAAAATGTTTTCTGTTTTTATTTTGCTTATATACCTAATAATGCTAAACCATCCAGCTAAGAGCTTGAATCTGTCTGCGTTCTCTGTGTTCAGATCTATTTTGCAACATTTTCACTAGTATAGCATTCTGTAATGAATTATCCCCTTCATGGATAATTCTGCCTTGCTGTGACGAAGGGGCTTGCATAGCTCAATGAAGCTATGAGCTATGCCGTAAAGGGGCACCCAAGATGGTCAGGTCATAGCAGAAAGCTCTAACAAAAGGTGATCCACTGGAGAAGGAAATGGCAACCCACTCCAATACCCTTTCCATGAAAACCCCATGGACTGTTCTAAAGGGCAAAACAATATGACGCTGGAAGATGAGTTGGAAGGTGTCCAATGTGCTACTGGGGAAGAGCAGAGGGCTACTACTACTAGTGCCAGACAGTGAAGCGACTGGGTCAAAGCTGAAAGTTGTGGATGTATCTGGTGGTGAAAGGAAAGTCTGATGCTGTAAAGAACATTACAGCATAGGAACCTGGAATGTAAGATCTTTGAATCAAGGTCAGCAGGACATGGTAAAACAAGAGATGACAAGACTGAACATCGACATCTTAGGAATCAGTGAACTAAAATGGACAGGAATGGGTGAATTTAATTCAGATGACCATCAGGTATACTATTGCAGGCAAGAATCCCTCAGTAGAAATGGGGTAGCCTTCATAGTTAATAAAAGAGTAGGAAGCACTACTGGAATACAATCTCCAAAATGACAGAATGATCTCAGTTCAAATACAAGGCAAACCATTTAACATCACAATAGTCCATGCTCCAACAGCTGATGCTGAAGAGGCTGAAGTTGACTGGTTCTATGAAGGCATCCAACACCTTATTGAAATAATACCCAAAAATGATGTCCTTATCAGACATCTTGGAATGTGAAGTCAAATGGGCCTTAGGAAGTCTGAGCAAAAAAAAAAAAAAAAAAAAAAAAAAGCTAGTGGAGGAGACAGTATTTCAGCTGAGTTATTCAAAATCCTAAAAGACAATGCAATTAAAGTGCTACACTCAATATGCCAGCAAATTTGGAAAACTCAGCAGTGGCCACAGAATTGGAAAAGGTCAGTTTACTTTCCAATTCCAAAGAAGGGCAATGCCAAAGAATGTTCAAACTACCGCACCATTGCACTCATTTCACATACTAGCAAAGTTATGCTCAAAATCCTACAAGCTAGGCTCCAGCAGTATGTGGACCAAGAACTACCAGAAGTACAGGCAGGGTTTCGAAGAGGCAGAGGAACTAGAGATCAAATTGCTAACATATGCTGGATCATGGAGAAAGCTGGGGAATTCCAGAAAATCATCTACTTCTGCTTCATTGATTGTGTGGATCACAACAAACTGTGGCAAGTTCTTAAAGAGCTGGGAGTACCAGACCATCTTATTTGTCTGTTGAGAAACCTATATGTGGGTCAAGAAGCAACAGTGAGAACTGGACACGGAACCACTGATTGGTTCAAAATTGAGAAAGGAGTTCGGCAAGGCTGTATACTGTCGCCCTGCCTATTTAACTTATATGCAGAGCACATCATGAGAAAGGCAGGGCTAGATGACTCACCGGTTGGAATTAAGATTGCCGGGAGAAATATCAACAACCTCAGATATGCAGATGATACCATTCTCATGGCAGAAAGTGAAGAGGAACTAAAGAGCCTCTTGATGCAGGTGAAGGAGGAGAGCACAAAAGTTGTCTTGAAACTCAACATTAAGAAAACTAAGATCATGGCATCTGGTCCTATCACTTCCTGGCAAATAGATGGGGAAGAAAGGGAGGAAGTGACAAATTTCATTTCCCTGAGCTCCAAGATCACTGCAGATGGGGACTGCAGCAAAGAAATTAAAAGGTGCTTGCTCCTTGGGAGGAAAGCTATGACAAATCTAGACAGCATACTAAAAAGCAGAGACATCACACTGCCAACAAAAGTTCATATAGTCAAGGCTATGGTTTTCCACTTGCAACCTATAGCTGTGAAAGTTGGACCATAAGGAAGGCTGAGCGCCGAAGAATTGAGGCCTTTGAAGAACCGAAGAATTGTGGTGCTGGAGAAGACTCCTGCAAGTCCCTTGGACTGCAAAGCGATCAAGGACAAGTCAGTTCAAGAGGAGATCAACCCTGACTGCTCTTTAAAAGGCCAGATCCTGAAGATGAAACTCAAATACTTTGGTGACCTAATGAGAAGGAAGGACTCACTGGAGAAGAGCCTAATGCTGGGAAAAATTGACAGCAAAGGACGAAAGGGACAGCAGAGGATGAGGTGGATACATGGAGTCACTGAAGCAGTCGGCATGAGCTTTAGTGGACTCTGAGGGATGGTGGAGGACAGGAAGGCCTGGAGGAGTTTTGTCCATGGGGTTGTGATGTGTCGGACATGACTTCGCAACTAGCAAGCAAGCAATGAGTTATACCTGAAAAAATGAAAAGGACCATCAAAGACAGAAATACCTGTTCAAACTTTTAGGGCACAATCTATACATGTTTAGATGGAAAAAGTCCTGTGACACCCAGCATATTGGCTACAGGATGCCAGGAACTGTAAGCCCCTACCCCCTTGTCCAAACATGTAAAGATTATACTGTTCTTTCTGGTTTTTCAAAATGTGAAAACAACCAGTTTGCATGTAAGTCAATGGAGCAAGAGGATTAAGGGCGCAAATTTGCATGGGATGATGTCTGAGGGGTCAAGGGGGTGGGCAGTCCCACTCTTGGTCTGCAATATTAACGCTGGACTACAAGGTGGATTTCTTTCACCTTTTCATCCCAAAGCACAATATGGGGAGAAAAAGACAATGTAGAAAAACATAAAAGCAGAGTTGTTGCAAGCTTTCTTAATTTACTAATCTTATTATTTTTATTGTATTGCATTTATATTCCACCTTCCTTCCTCCGGCAAAGAATCCAAGGTGGCTTGGGGGCTTGTAAAGGTCTCCTCTCCTTGATTGATGTTTGTAGTTTTAGTTTAAAATCTTAATAAAAATTTCAAAAAAAAAAAAAAAAAGGTCTCTTCTCCATTTTATCCTTAAAACAACAACCCTGTGAGGCAGGCTAGGTTGAAAGGTAGCAACTACCCTAATGTCTACAGTAAATACACTTTACTATGCAGCTGTCCCTCTTTAAATAATATCCTTTTGTACACCTTGCTCCACTATGCATTAGAGTTAAAGCTGAACAGTGAAGAAAGCTGATAAGAAGAGAATGGATACATTCAAAACATGGTGTTGGAGGAGAGCTTTGAGAATACTCTGGGCCAACATTAGATGCACAAGTGAGTCCTGGATCAAGTCAAGTCAGGACTTTCCCTGAAAGCAAGAAATGATACAAGAGACCGCTGTACTTTAGGCACATCATGAGAAGGCAAGACTTGCTGGAGAAGACTAATCATTCTTGGGAAAACCGAAGGCAGAAGAAGAAAAGGAAGCCGACCCATGACCGGGAAGCCAGAGCCCTCAATTTACAAAGCTGAGCAAGGTCGTCAGACAGAACAATTTGAAGGGCATTGACTCATTGGGTCTCCCTATGTCGGAGTTAAATTGACGGCACGTAACAACACCAGATTACAAAATCATTACTTCATAATGTCTGGCAATTCTCTGTGTTGTGTCGGTAAATAGGCCCACTGCAGACGGAAAGACTCTTTCCTTCTTACATTGCACGTGCCTAAATTGATTTTGCAACTACCAAGATCCCTTCCATTTTGCCTTTCCATCTTTTTGACCATTTATGCTTGCCATCGCGGCCCCTTTGACGCAAGAGGTAAGTCGGTTCGGGTGGGTAAGATGGCGGCGACTTCAGCGGGCAGTGGTGTGGATGTTCAGGCTCGATTCGGCCACTCTGTGAAGGGACTGCTGACCGAGAAAGTGACCAGTTGTGGTACAGATGTCATCGCCCTCACTAAGCAGGTGCTGAAAGGCTCCCGGAGCGCTGAGGTGAGTGAGACTGTGAGATCTAGAAAGCACCGCGTTTGTTGCCTAACTTCAGACCTGCAGAAGGAGAGCGCAGGGTATTATGGGATTTGTAGTCTTCTACGATGCCGCCAGATCTGGGATTGGACTTTAGGAAAGCTTTGACGTCCTGTCCCCTTCATGTACAGTGGTGTATCCCATTTTTGGAGGTTTGGCTAGTGGGTGGTCAGTGTTTTCGGTTGTATATTTCCATGGAGTGAAAGAGATGAATAGATTTAGGAATAGTTTGCTCGCACTAGCTGGCTGCCATGGTAAAATACTCCCTGTACAGTTCAAGCTGCCCATTCAGCTGAACTAGTCTACTGCTGTTCTTTGCTTATTCCCCAAACGGAGAAGAAAAATAGTGATAATCCCATAGTGTAGAATTGTCCAATGAGATGCCCTTCTCGAAGTGTTTTGGATTGCAATTTATATAATCCCTGCTGATTGACTGTGCTGGCTGAGTCTGATGGGAATTGTGTAGAGCCATTTCAGTCTGTCTTCTTGCCTTGTTATGGGACAGAAACTGTTTTATCTATGTGGACAGTATATGCTGGGAAGTGGTCAGGTCGAAAGTGTCCCTGTTGGTTCTCTTGATCCTTGTGGTAGCTTTTGATACTTTCTGGAGCATCTACCTGAGATGGGACTTGGAGACACTGTTATATGGTGGCTTCAGTCCCTCAGGGTTCCACTTTATTCCTTATGCTATTTAACATATACATGAAACTGCTGGGAGAAGTTGCCTGGGGCTTTGATGCCACCAGTACGCTGAGGATCCCAACTCTATTTTTCTCATCCGTCCAAATGCAAAGAATATGTTCTGGTTCTAAACTGATGTCTGATGTTCATAATGGAGTGGGTGAGAGCAACCAGACGGAATTTTTATCCAGAAAAAAAGAGATACACCTGGTTAGTCAAAAGGCACAGATTCTGACTGTACTAAATAAGATTACACTCCCACTAATGACTCAGGGTTAGCACTTTGGATGTACTTCTAGACTCTGCCTTGAACCTGGATGCCCAGGTTTCAGTGCTGGCCAGGAGCTTGTCTGTATTGCTGAAACTAGTGCACCAACTGTGCTTGTCCCTAGAGATCTCTGATCTGATCATGGGCAGACATGCCTTAGTATTCCATTTGGACTGCTAGAATGAACTCTCCATAGGGCTGCCTTTGAAAACTGTTCTGAAATGTCAGCTGGTCAAGGATACTGGGGTCAGTTACAGGGGCATATAAGGCCTGTTTCAAAACCTTCACTGGCTACAGAGAAGCACTGGTTTCAGAGTGCCGCTTATGACATATAAAGCCCTTCCTAGCTTGTACCCAAGCTACCTGAAAGATTGCCTGAGTCTTACAATCATTAGGAGGGACCCTTCTTTAAAAACTACCACTTTTAGAAATACATTTCACTAGCATCTTCCAGGTTGTAGAACTTCCTGCTAAGGTGAAGTAGGTTTGCTCCCTCCCTGTAGTCCTTCTGGTGGCAGGGAAATACCTTTTTATTCAAGCAAGCCTTTGTCTGTAGGGTTCTTTAGGGTTCAGAGTCATTTTATTCTCTTATTGTTGTGTTTCAATGCATTTGTTTTATTTTTGTTTTAATCACATTTTATTTATGACTGTATACCTCCTTGAGTGCTATTTTGCTAGGAATAATATCTGTAGGTCAATATATAAATTTTACACTGGTGTAGAGATTTGCTTTAAAGATGACAGTGATAATGAGACATGGGGTCTTGTTATTTCAGGATATCATAGGAATAATACTAGGTTATGTACACTGCTCAATCACCTTTCTCAAAAAGGGAATGTTGGCAACTGGCTGGAAGTTGTTCACATTGGCTGTGTCCAGGGTAGGATTCTTAAGGAGTGATACAATAACCATGGTTTTTAATGTGGAAAGCACCACTCCCTCTCTAAAAGAGGCATTAACAACCTCCTGTACCTGAACTCCCGCTACAGATTTTCCAATCAAACAAAAAAAGGCAAGGATGAAGCAAACAGGTTGTAGACTACTGACCACCATGGTGCATGCTGCGAAGTTTTTGAATTTTCAAGCTGTAGCTTGTCAGGTTGCCTGAACTTAGTTTATTAAGTGTGTAGTTCTGCTTATGTATCTGTTGCTTAAATTCCATCAAAACTAACTCAACAAAACATCTGCTTTTGGTGCCAGCGGAGTGCTGGCATCTTAGAACATATCTGTATTTGATAATGTAACTTGCATGTCTTTCAGTTCCTAGGACAGGCTGCCAGAAACATGGTGATGCAAGAGGATGCCATCTTGCACTCAGAAGATGTAAGGATTGTTTTTTCCATAACAGTGTCTGTTTTGCCTAGTACTCAGTTACATATAAGGTACAAGAAATGTAGAAAAAGGGAGATTACTAGTCAAATTCAGATTTGGGAATTGAGAGAATTTTATTCCATTCCTAATATACATGTGAGCATCAGTCTGGAAACATTGTTTGTTTCTATATGTTACATCCAAGTGTATTTACTGTAGACATATTTGCACAGATTTTCATGGTCAGAATTTAAAGGAGGATTAAATAAATGCATGCTTTGTGAACATGACCATATTCTTTAATACAGAGCCACCAGCTTTGAGGCAGACAGAAAGTCCCTTTACCTTTGAAAAAGGGACCTCTTTAAAATATGAGTATGGAGACAGTGCCGTGCTGGTTGGCCTATGTACCTGCATTTTTCTGGTAATGCTACATATATCATCAATCATTTGATTTCAGCTCTGTTTATTTCTTTTGGAGTTTCAAAAGTTAAATGCTTCATAAACAGTGGCACTGATAGTCCATAGATGGGCGAGTGAAACACTCTCTTCACTTATTTAGCTTTCTGTAACCAAAAAGAATATTCTGTTTTCTCTTTTTTTCCAACTTTAATTAAAGCTGCCAAGTGTATTACATGGTAATTATATTATCCTTGTGTTCATACATGGGTTAAAGAGCAATTGCAGCATGTCATTGGCATCAAATTGTGAGTTGCATGGGGTTTCTTTTGTCCAGCTCAAGCCTGGCAATTCTTTACCTAGCTTATCAGTTAAGAATTTGAAATCCTAGTTTGTTGCTTTCAAGTATTAGAATTTCCAGATTGCCCTACAGGATCCACTGAAGTCCAGGGCCAATTTAAAGGGCTTACATTAACATATAAAGCCCTAAATGGTTTAGACCCTGGATATCTGAAGAAAGTCTCCTCCCAGACTTTAAGATCATCCACTGAAATCCTTTACCACAAGCCACCTTTAAAAGATGTAAGGAAGGTGGCCACTAGGGGAAAGGCCTTTTTGGTTGTGGCACTTTGATTGTGGAGTCTGTTCTCCAGAGAGGTGTGCCTGGCACCAAGTTTTTATGCTTTTCAGCACCGGGCCAAAACCTTTTATTTTCCTAGTATTTTAATGGCTAAAAGAAAAAAAGTCATTTTATATTGTACTTTATACTGTTGGATCGCTGTGGATTGTTTATTATTTATTTACCAAAGTATTTTATTTAATTGGTTTGGAATTGGTGCATTATGGCCTATATTACACTTACATATATTACGTTGTTATGTCGTATTGCTTTAACATGTTGGTCTTTTTAATTTTTATTGTAAACAGTTCAGAGTGCCATTTGGCTAACACAGACAGTATATAAAGGTTTTAATACAATAAATAAAATTACAGGATCCTGCCAACAGAAGGAGGGGAAGCAGGTTCTACAGAGTCTTCTCTCTCACCAGCTGTTCCAGAGTGTTCCCCAGGTCGCAGGAACAGATTTTCAGGGGATATAAGGGGCCATGGGGGATTCACGGGACTTCCCTCTCCCTCTGTAAGGGTGCGGACCCGATTGTGTGGGTCCGCCCTCGGAGCTGGATGGATCCGGATGGATTCCTGAAGGCCCTGGGGGAGTTTCCGACTGACAAGACTGGTGCTCCAGTCGACGCCCTGGTCGAACTGTGGAACGGGGAAATGACCAGGGCTGTTGACATGATCGCTCCTAAGCGTCCTCTCCCGCCGGACAGAGCCCACTCTTCCCCTTGGTATACACCTGAATTGCGGGTGATGAAGCAGGCTGGGAGACAGCTAGAGCGTAGGTGGAGGAAATCATGGGATGAATCTGACCGAACACACTTAAGAGCCCATTATCGGGCCTATGCTGTGGCGGTGAGGGCGGCGAAAAAGAAATTCTTCTCCATCTCCGTTGCCTCCTCAAAATGCTGTCTGGTGGAGCTTTTTTGAGTGGCATGGCCTGGTTTATCCTGGCCCCAAGAAAGATCTGGTTTCACCCTCGAAGGCCCGCTGTGACAACTTTGTCAAGCATTTCAGGGAGAAAATCGTTCAGATTCGTCGCGAGCTAGACTCTACTAGTGACTCAGAGGTTTCTGGGGAGATACCAATGCCGCCACCAGGTCCAAAATTAATGGATGAATTTCAGTTACTGTGGCCTGATGATGTGGACAAGGTGCTTGGACGAGTACGTCCCACCACTCGCCTATTGGACCCTTGCCCATCTTGGTTAATAAATAACGCCAAGCACGGGATTGGGATCTGGATCTTGGAAGTTGTTAACGCTTCTCTGAGGGAGGGTCGGGTACCTGCCTCTTTAAAGGAGGCGGTAGTCCGACCGGTCCTGAAGAAGGCGTCACTGGATCCAGAGATGGCCACTAATTATAGACCAGTGGCCAACATCCCGTTTCTGGGCAAGGTGTTGGAGCGGGTGGTGGCGGGACAACTCCAAGCACTCTTGGATGAAACTGATTATCTGGACCCATTTCAGTCCGGCTTCAGACCCGGGTACGGTACTGAATCTGCCTTGGTCGCCCTGTATGATGACCTGTGCAGGGAGAAGGACAGGGGGAGTGCGTCCCTGTTGGTTCTTCTGGACCTCTCAGCGGCTTTCGATACTATCGACCATGGTATCCTTCTGGATAGGCTAGCAGGAGTGGGGGTCGGAGGCACTGCTCTGCAGTGGTTCCGCTCTTAATGACCATTTCCAGAAGGTGGTGCTGGGGGACTATGGCTCTGCGCCATGGCAGCTTTGCCATGGAGTACCGCAGGGGTCCATTTTGTCCCCTTTGCTGTTTAACGTCTACATGAAACCGCTGGGAGAGGTCATCAGGAGGTGTGGGCTGCGGAATCATCAGTACGCTGATGATACCCAGCTCTACCTCTCATTTTCCACCAATCCAGGTGAGGCAGTGGCTGTGCTGAACCGGTGCCTGGCTGAGGTAATGGGCTGGATGAGGGCCAATAAACTGAAGCTCAATCCAGACAAGACGGAGGTCCTCTTGGTTGGCGGATCGAGCTTCGGTGAGGGTGAATTGAACCTAGTCCTGAACGGGGTTACACTCCCTCTTAGGGACAAGGTCCGCAGCTTGGGAGTGCTCCTTGGCCCAGAGCTTTCACTGGAAGCTCAGGTGACAGCGGTGGCGAGGAGCGCTTTCTTTCAGCTTCAGCTGATCCATCAGCTGCGCCCCTACCTGGAGTACGACTGCCTGGCGACAGTGACACATGCGTTGGTGACTTCCCCACTTGACTTCTGCAATGCGCTCTATGTGGGGCTACCCTTGAAGACGGTCCGGATACTTCAATTGGTTCAGAATAGAGCTGCCAGGCTGCTGACAGGGACTGGGTGTTATGCTCACATGACTCCAGTCCTCCATCAGCTTCACTGGCTTCCCATTGAAGTCCGGGCCCAATTCAAGGTGTCTGTGATGACCTATAAAGCCCTAAACGGCTTGGGTCCTGGCTACCTGAAGGAGCGCTTATGTCCATATATGCCCGCCCGCCCCGAGATCAGCGGGAGAGGCCCTTCTCCGGGAACCCTCCATGAAGGAAATTAGGAGGATAGGTACTCGGAGGAGGGCTTTCTCTGAGGTGGTGCCCAATCTATGGAATGCGCTCCCCAGAAAGGTCTGCCTGGCGCTGTTGTAATTTGTTTTTCGGCGCCAGGTGAAGACCTTTTTATTCAAGCGTCATTTTAATTGTTAATGTTATTTTTATTTTAAAGTTTTTTGGCCAGGGTGACTTATTTTATACAGTTATGTGTATTTTATATTGTTATTTATGTATTTTAATTGATTTATTTGTAAGCCGCCCCGAGGCTTCGGCGAATGGGGCAACCTAGAAATTTTCTAAATAAATCAGTGGAAGTCAACTTTCTACACCTTCCACTAGTCATGCCTGTCTTATGAGGAGAACATTGCTTAGGGAAAATTTCCCATGGAAAGAAATCCATGGGAAATTTCCCAGCCTGTTTGAAAGAATGTAGTGGTTGGAATATTGAACTGGGGAAACCTGGGTTCAAGTTCCCACATGGCCATGAAGCACACTGAGTGATTTTGGGCCAGTCACTGACTCTCACCTACCTGCCTTGAGCTCTTTGGAGGAAAATTCAATAAATAAATAGAGATAACAGAAATAAAATCTATGTTCTAAATATTCCTTACTAATGCGTGGGTTTTAGAAATGATTTTAGAAGTGATTTATGTAATAATATTGAAAGCCTTGGGGTCCTTCAGAGCAGCAGATTTTATGGGCTAGGAGGGTCTATTATGTGATGATCTCTGAGTAAACCGCATGCCCTGTACATTGACTGCATGAATAGAACCATTATGGAAAAGAGCAGTTATTCAGTATTTTGTTCTTTGCAGAGCTTAAGGAAAATGGCAATTATAACTACCCACCTGCAGTACCAGTAAGTATATGCAGTGTTTACTTGTTATTGTATGGGCTGGTTTCCTTGGAAATGTAATTTTTGCCTGGTATAGATTGTATACTATTTGTAGGGGAGCCCTGCAGAGGAAGGAAGGAACAGAACCCAGGGCTATTAAAGAAGTTTCTCCTACAGCTAGCATTCTTTACTCCTAACTGCTAGGATAAAATAACTAAGTGTACAATCCTATGCATGCTTAGAAAGAGAAAATGTCTACAATTTCTGCTCCAGCTAGTATCTTGGGACTTCTATGCTTTTTCTGTAAAAAATGCACATGATTGCATCTTAATTTGACTCTTCGTACAACATTCTTGTGGACTCTGTTGGGCACAATAAATCTGCCTTTAGAACTGGCTGTTCATTGCTTAAATTCACAGATTTCTTCTCATGATTTGTAGCAACCCAGTGGATTTCAGTTCAGTTCTAGTTCTCAGGGTTCTCTTCAGAGGTCAAACAGTCTGATCCTTCCTTTGCTTCTTCCATTTTCTCAGCTGTAAGCCAGGCCTCTTTTCAGCAGCTTAAAATTCACTTCAACCTACTTTGTGTTCTTAAGCATCTTGTAACTTTTAAAAATAATATTGTTTCTCTCCCTGCCCCCCTACTGTTGTCTTTTATTTTCTAGACAAGAAGCTATTCAGAAAAAGTGAGTTTCTGCTGTTCTTACTTCACTTTTGCATTTACCTGCAATAGACAATTGTAGTTACTCTTGCCAAATATTCTTTTGATCTTTCATCTATCCGTATTATATTGACTGCAAACCTAACAGGTTCAGGACTGTGTCAGCACTATGTAATGGTTAGTGTCCTTTTGGTGTTAAAAATATTAAATAACAGTGCTTGATTTTTTCAAATGTCCCATGCTGTAACATTTGAAAAACAAGATAGTATGTGATGAAGAATGACTTGTAGATGCTCAGGGGTTTCTTTAAAGGTGAGTGAGGCTTACAGTGGCCAGGAGAACTGAACTCTGCTTTCTACTGGCATTTCCAGACATGGTTCTTTTTCCCAGTTCTAAACTAATGGGTCAATTGAGGCTTGAACCCTAAACATAGTTATTAGGGAGCAAATACTATTGAACATAGTGGGACATATTGCAGAATGTGTCCTTACACGGGATCATTCTTCTAATGAGCGTTTCATTTACACATGTAATGGTTTGCATTTGATTTGTTCCCCTGATTCACTATCAGAAAAAAATATGTAGCTTGATTCCAGATATATTTACGCAGATATAAGGTGGGGCTTACTCCTAAGGATTGCGCATTTCTAATTTGAATGCTTTTTGGCAGTTATTTTCTGCTCTAAGCCCTGGGAATAGTTTTGGTTAATTGTTCTTACCGATTTTTAATTTGCATTTTATTGCATTTGTGAGCTACTGTGAACCTTCTGGGTTAGTTTGTAGAGCATTAAATCTTAGAAAGAAATTTTGAAATGGAAGCATTTCCTTCCTGCTTGTGGGTATAAAACCTTCTTCCAAATCACACACATCATAATTCAGGAACTAAAGTGAATTAAAATATCATCTGTTTCTCCATTTTATTTTGAGACCCTTGCATCTATCATTTACATTGCAATTTAATTGATTGGTTGGTTGACTGATTGATGTCCAAACTGCCCAACAGGTGAAACTCTCTGGGTGGTACACAAAGCACATTTAAAATATCCATAAAAGATATTTCATATTAAAAACATATTAACCCATGTACAGTTATTTTGTAATGTATCGAAATATCACTTGGTATCATTTGAACTCTTCCTTCTCATCTTCAGTGTTGAACAGTCATCAAATTTGCGTGATCAACTGAGCCACCTCCTTTTGAAATGAAGAGAGAATGATGTGCAGCTAGAAACTGATGGGAGAAAGCACATTTTGGACTTGTGGAGTCCCTTATCATGTTCCTGCTTCAGCAAAAGCATTGTGTAGTTGACCTAGTCCAAAAGTTACATGTTAGTTGTGATGATGCCAAGGGTACCTAAATTTATTATAACCTGGGAATTGGAGCAGCCCTTAATTTTTAATTGCAACTAGTGCATCTGTAAAAGGCTAGAAAGGTTTTTGTATTTGATTATAGATATGAACACTCAGAGTATGTTTTTCCCCTCTTTTGGGAGCTAAAATATAACAGGCTTAATTTACCAAACAACTTATATCTCTGCACACCACCGGCCAAATGCACCATGCTTTGGTTTTGGATGCTTTAAAGGAGAAAATTCTATTTCAGACTAAAGTTAAGTGTATTGATAGTATGAATTTCTTCCTTTTCGGGGCAGAATCATGCAATCATATACAGTACACTGACATGCACTAGAAAAGTTATTAAAATTGCTGTCTGCAGCACTGCTCTATTTGCTGCTGTGTATAGGTATATAACTGATCTTGGAGGGCATTACTCTTATGTCACCTCTAACCCATCTGTAAGGTGTTTTACAGCAGTGTGCAATGTTTGATCCTATGAATAGCTATAATTGTAGAGATACTATATGTGCACAATTCCTGTGCAAGACGATAGTGTGCATTGCCCCTTGAATTACAAACCCACTATTTGCCATGTTAATGATAATTCTTCCTAAGAAACATGTTGTTTTCTTTCTCCTGAGACCTGCCACAGAACTGTTGATTGGCATTTTGCATCCCTCAAACTCTGAGCATCTAACTTCATATTTAGGCAACTTATAGAGAAATCCCATTGTTAGATATGGAGAGCTCTGTTTGGGCCTCCTAAGATTCCAAACTCATGTTGGCCTTGCACCAGTATGGCAAAGTAGAGGGAAAAACAATTAATTTATTTTTTAAAAAATCTTGTTTTATTGTTTCTCTCCCATTGAAATAACTAGAGGAGAAATTAATAAGCCCGTTCCAGGTCTGGTTTAGTTCTGCTTATGTCCTAGGGGCATGAGATGGTTGTGGATCCCAAAATCCTATGGCTCCTAGGATGCCTTCTTAGCAACTGCAACTTAAGCATATTTTTAGGGACTGGAACTCTTTTCTCTCCCAGTCTTAATCTTAGTTAATGGGAGCATACAATGCTGAGTGAAAATATGGGAGTTTATTTAGATTTGCTTTAAATGCTGACAGTATAACAGTTTGTAAAATTTTGCATGCTCTGTTGTATATAGCTGCTAACAAATTCCCATTCAGACTGTAAACGTATGCACAGTTACTTGGGAGTAAGTCTCATTAAAAACAGTGAGACTCACTTTTGAGTAAGAATGCATAGGATAGCACTGTTCATTTCTTTGGCCTCAATTTTTTGGTATGGTATCAGTTGTGTGTGTATGAGCAATGCTGAAACAAGTCTACTAAGTATTTCACTCTGCAGAAGAAGATCTAGAATGTACTCCCTTAGGGCTGTACATCTGCTGATGGTTTTGGCCTTGAACTATGCTTCTAAACACTCACTGCTGCTACAGCTTGATTAAGTGCCTTGGCTTTATTATGTAATTCTCTATGGAGCCAGTAATCTAATCAGATATATAGTTGGAATGGTACTGGAGATATTTCCTCAGCATGGTGGACTGAGCCAATTTAAAACCAGTGAAAAACAGAATTGATACTATAGTATGCATATAAAATGTATTAGTATTTCCTCTTTCATTTTTAGTGTGTACTTTTGCGTTATTCAGAGAAGAGTACTCGTGGATAATTTATACAATAAAAATATTAAAGAACTGTTCTTTGTACACAAACTAATACTATATGTGTTAGAGCACTGTGCAAGCTCTTTTTAAATGGGAACAAGCAACTAAATATATTGTTGTGGAAACTGTTCTGTTTTGTCAGCAAGAAGCATTGCTTATGTAGCTAAAATGCATAGATGAGCAGGGAAGTATCAGAGTTCTGAGGTCCTTGAACCTTCGGCCAAACAAATCTTACAGAATGACAAATCATTATGAAAAAATCCGGGAGGGGGGCAGGCTCCTCAAACATCCCAATGATCGTGGAATGCGAACTGACTGTTGGTGGGAGTGGAGGCATAGGTGAGGCGGGGAATGGAATGGAGCATCATGGGGGAGGGTATGGCTGGCTGACTGGGGACAGTGAACAGCAGCACCCCATACTGCAACATTTTATTCCAAGTTCCACTTGTACTATTCTGTTATTGTAGATTCCATACTTTTAAAAATAATTGAATAAAGCAAACTTGTTTTGGAGTTGTTATCATTTATCTTCCGATCTATGTATTTTTATTATGCTGTGTCAGATGTAAATAGCTTGGGAGGAGGGGTGCTTTTGTTTTAAAGAACGGTTTAAAATGTACTGTATTTGTTTCTTTTGCCATTTATGCTGTAAAAGTGTGTACCTGTTATCTATTTATTTATTTCATTCTACTTCTATTCCGTCCCACAACCTGAGGCCATGTTAATTTTTCCCATAACAGCTTTCCCTTGATCTAACCAGGAATAAAATTCAGGGTGTTGAGGATTTATATATTTTCTTAATGGCCTAAAACAAGAGAAGACTAGAGCAGAAATTGGCCTTTGTACTAAATTCAGGTCTGTGACCTGGACATTATCAACTGAGTTCCCAATGAGATGTTGATTTGCATCACGCTCAGCCAGTTAAATTTGCCATCAGGATATATTTGTTTATTTCTTGGCCAAAGCACACTGTTCTGCTTTGGCTGGCAGGAGTGATTGCTATTAGACTGCTTTGTCTGCCATTATACTGCTTTGGATAGTTGTAGGTTTTGAAAATGAAGGTAATGTTTCCTGAGCCTCTTTAAAACTGAAAACAATGACATACTTTTGGGGATTTACTCACACGGGCAATAAATTGTCTTGGTTACTACTTAGAATGGCTACATACTGCCTCCAGGATCAGAGGCAGTAACATCAGTCTAATACCAATCTCAGGAGAACAGCAGTAGAAGAGGGTCATGGCACTCATGTCCCACTTCTGAATTGCCTGTTGGCATCTGCATGACCACTGTAGAATGAATGAAGAATCCATTTGAAATCATCAAAAAGATGGCATGTCTCAGGATGCTAGAAAAAAATGCTATATTCAGAAGCAAGGGCCTTGTGAGAGCAAAGAGCACCAGGGCATGTGCCCCAGACTTTCTTTAAGCTGTGTCAATGATATCTACATTGAGAAATATTTATTTATTTATTTATTTATTTATTTATTTATTTATTTATTTATTTCAGCTTCCATAACCTGAAGGTTCTCTGGGCAGCTTATAAATGCTGAAGCAGCATATAATACAATTGATAAAAACAGATAAATCATAAAAACAGTAAAATAGGACATAACCATCTTACATAATAAAATTATAAAGCCACTCACCTCATAATGAAATATAAGCAATGCTTCCCTCTTAGCTTAGTAGGATGGTGACTAGGAGACCTTTAGACTCCCTTACTTAGCAGACCGAAAGTGGGTGAAGCATGAAGGCAGCAGCCTTGGCTTTCTCTCTTTCTCCTTTTACATGTCTGCTGCTGGGTGTTTGCTTGCAAGCAAGGTTCAAAGAGAGCAGGAAGAGTTTCCTGTGAAATTTCTCATGATTTTACTGTCCTAAACTAGAACTTTGGCTTCTGCAAAAGTTTAGTGGTTTTTCAGTACAGAAAAGGATTTTGCCTCCACAAACCCACCTGTTACGTAGGGTAGGGTTATCCCCAACCTTTGTTGGCCCAAGGAGGCATTCTACATTTTGAAACAGTGTCCTGAGCTCCTACACAAATGTGCTGCTATCGGGTTGAGAGAGCCAACCACAAAAAACTTTGGGGTGCCCCCCTTATCTATGTCTGTCTGCATATATGTGCATCCTTTGTGTATACCTCTTGTTCTGACTTTCCCTGACTCTTCTTTCATTTTTTAATCTCTCAGGCTCCTCTCTCCCCTCCTACTTTCCTCCTTTGCAAGTGAAAGCAACATTTTTTTCATTTATTTGCATGGTATTAGAAAATCTGAAAATTGGATGGAGGTGGTAAATCCATCTCCCTATTGCCCAAGGGCTCTTGCTAGGGTTGACTTTTCTCCCCTCCAGCCCTTTTTCTCTTCTAGGAGTTTTTCCTCCCCTTGTATAGGTGGAGGACTTGCTGAGAAGGAAAAATAGCTTGGTGGACACTTAAGCCTGGGTCTGGGGGTGCAGTAATACCTACAGGCATTGCACTGGAACCCCAGGTCGTGAGATATTCACAAGAGAGCAACAAAGCTTTATACTACTTTATAGCGAGTCAGACCATTGACCTCTCTATCCCAGTATTGTTGACAATGACTAGCAATAGCTCTTCTGAGCTTCAGGTGGAAAGGTTTTTGTTTTTGTTTTGCCCTACTTGAGAAATTGGGGATCAAGCCCAGAACTTTCTGCATATAATTCATGTAGCTTACCACTGAACCATGGAGGGTTGTAAGAAACATTTTTAACTTCATGCAAACAGGTGAGGAGTCTTTCCTCATCTTAACCCAACTCTTTGAGAAAGTTGGTTTAAATGGTTGCAGAGGGCAGAATTGGCCTAATTTGTTTGTTAATTGAACTTGTTCAGCAAGCAACAGGCTTTAAGAAAAAGAAGTTTTAATTTGAGGAGGTAGGGGGATAAATGCTGTTCATGATACTCTTCTACACTTGCTATAAAGAAGTCCTGTTATTGTCAATGGTTGTTCTTCTGGAAAAGTGTTAATTCTCTTGGGATGTTTGCAGCCTGATCCTCTGTACGGCTTCCCTACACCTAAATCCTGAGCTATGAGTGTGGGACCAAAGTTATAAACCGCCCACCCTGTTCCTCTCCATTGATTTAGATACCCTTTCAGCCCAGTCCTGTTTTGTCTGTTCTCCTCCCTTTTTGCATGGACTTAAGTGGTGAGGGAAGGGCATTTGGTACATAGTTGGTAATTTTTCTGTAATTTAGTTGTAGTGAAAGCTGACTCCTTGGCTAAATCCTGGTGGTCTTGTCACAAATTCAGCTATGAAAAGAAGATGGAAAGAAGAGCTCGCACATGAGGAGCAATGGAGACCTACAAAAAGCAAAAACTGTTTTCATGAAGAGTTGGTGGAGGACAGCATTGCAGATGGTTGTGTGGAGCAGAACTGAATTTTCTTGCAGCAAGAGTGGTCAGTGCTAACATCTAGAAATGGATTGCTTAGGCTTTAATCTATGGGATACATTCCATCATTATGAAAGGTGTGGAGAAGGGGAGGCTGTAAATGCTCAGTAGTGAAAGAAAAGCTATCTGCATGTGATCAGAGAAACGCTTTATATTGCTTTTTTGATAACATTAGTAAAATATAAATTAATTTGGATCACTCTAAATTAACATGCAGCAGCACATGCGAATTTGTTCCACGGGCCTGTTCCTCAGTTCTTTCAAGACTGAGGTGTTGGAGCAGGTGTGGAGTGGGCAAGGTGTTGGAGGGGGTGGTGGCAGGACAACCCCAAGCACTCTTGGATGAAACTGATTATCTGGACCCATTTCAGTCCAGCTTCAGACCCGGGTACAGTACTGAATCTGCCTTGGTCGCCCTGTATGATGACCTGTGTAGGGAGAAGGACAGAGGGAGTGCGTCCCTGTTGGTTCTTCTGGACCTCTCAGCGGCTTTCGATACCATCGACCATGGTATCCTTCTGGATAGGCTAGCGGGACTGGGGGTTGGAGGCACTGCTTTGCAGTGGTTCCACTCTTATCTCAATGGCCGATTCCAGAAGGTGGTGCTGAGGGACTATGGCTCTGCACCATGGTAGCTTTGCCATGGAGTACCGCAGGGATCCATTTTGTCCCCTTTGCTGTTTAACATCTACATGAAACCACTGGGAGAGGTCGTCAGGAGGTGTGGGCTGCGGAATCATCAGTACGCTGATGATACCCAGCTCTACTTCTCGTTTTCCACCAATCCAGGTGAGGCAGTGGCTGTGCTGAACCGGTGCCTGGCCGAGGTAATGGGCTGGATGAGGGCCAATAAACTGAAGCTCAATCCAGACAAGACGGAGGTCCTGTTGGTTGGCAGATTGAGCTTCGGTGAGGGTGAATTGAACCTAGTCCTGAATGGGGTTACACTCCCTCTTAGGGACAAGGTCCGCAGCTTGGGAGTGCTCCTTGACCCAGAGCTTTCACTGGAAGCTCAGGTGACAGCGGTGGCGAGGAGCATTTTCTTTCAGCTTTGGCTGATCCATCAGCTGCGCCCCTACCTGGAGTACGACTGCCTGGCGACAGTGACACACACGTTGGTGACTTCCCAACTTGACTTCTGTAATGCGCTTTACGTGGGGCTACCCTTGAAGATGGTCCAGATACTTCAATTGGTTCAGAATAGAGCTGCCAGGCTGCTGACGGGGACTGGGCGTTATGCTCACATGACTCCAGTCCTCCATCAGCTTCACTGGCTTCCCATTGAAGTCCGGGCCCAATTCAAGGTGTGATGACCTATAAAGCCCTAAACGGCTTGGATCCGGGTTACCTGAAGGAGCGCTTACGTCCATATATGCCCGCCCGCCCCGAGATCAGCGGGAGAGGCCCTTCTCCGGGAACCCTCCGTGAAGGAAATTAGGAGGATGAGTACTCGGAGGAGGGTTTTCTCTGCGGTGGCGCCCAATCTATGGAATGTGCTCCCCAGAGAGGTCTGCCTGGTGCCGTCGTTATTTGTTTTTCGGCACCAGGCAAAGACCTTTTTATTCAAATGTCATTTTAATTGTTAATAGTATTTATTCATTTTATTCTTTGGCTAGGGTGACTTAATTTATACTGTTAATTTATGTTATTCTATGGAAGTTTATTTATGGATGTGAGCTGCCCCGAGGCTTCGGCGAATGGGGCGGCATAGAAGTCTCCTAAATAAATAAATAAATAAATACATACATACATACATACATACATACATACATACATAAGACCCTAACAACAACCCCTGAATAAATGCAGAAAAGAGTAGCCAGAACACATAGACAAGATTTTCTGGCCCTATCGATCTCTTCGGAGTCTATGATTCCAGCAGAGCTTTCTGCAGCCCTTCATCCGGGGAAGTCAGTGGCTGGGGCAATCCACGGTCTCATTTTCAGGTTTCTTGGTGTCACGCCCGCCATAGCGACCCATCACATGGTCTTAATCCCGCCTCTGATCGTGACTAACGGAGCCCTGGCCGGTCCAAGGGTGGAATGACCCGCCCATTTTGTAAAGCAAACGCTCGTGCCCTCGGAATAACATCGCGTTTCCGGCCCATTCACCGCAGCGCGCCAAGTTCTGTGAGGGGTGCTCAGAGTTTGGGATAGGCTTGAGGCGCGCGCCGAGTAAGGCGAGGGTGTTGTTGCGTGTTCTTCTAGGGTAGTGAGTTTAGCTTGTTCATGGGGAGGCGGTCCCAAGGTGTGGGTTTTTTTTTCATAGGGAGAATCATTTTGGGGCAGGGTGGTGAGAGCCTCCTGCTGGGCGGGGGGAGGGAATCAGATAGATTTGCCATAAAGTGGTGGATTGCATCGTCTACCTTCTCTAAAAGTACTCCTGTGTGAGATTTTTTTTGCTTCATATTGACTCTTGTTTTCTTGTAGTGGCTGCAGAGCGGATATACAGGGAGGTGCAGGTGAGAAGTGGGTTAGTTTAATACCGAATGGCAGTCTTCCCCAACTTGGTGCCCTTCAGATGGCATAGGACTAAACTGGTTGTAGCATGATGGGTGTTGTAGGCTCACACAAATGGAGGGTACCAGGTTAGGAAAGCTGCCATAGCTTGTATGCCCCTATGCTAATGCATGCACAGACTGGTTTTGCCTGCTTGCTTCTGTCATAGCTAGGTCCATTGCTGTCTTGAACACAAAGAATGAATCTCTCTACACTGATGTGCTGGGTCTCTTTCCTCACCTCTGCTCCCATATATTCCTACTCACTTAGCCTCGTGATGGCATCCTCCTTGTGGAGTTTGCCTGGTACTGTAGGAGGGAGAAAATGATGACAGAAATTGAGTTATAAGGTATTTATAGTATAGCAGTTGTAATATATATGTGCATCTTTCTTGGAGAGCACGGTAATTATGGCTTTTGTTTTAAAAAGTAGCTTGATGTTTGTAAGTGCACTAAGTGTGTAGACACTAATTTTATTTCGATTTCCCCCTTTTGCCAAGCTATGCAAGGTGTTTGAGCCATGAGAAATTAGTACGTTTTAAGTACAATGATCATTTTCATTGTTCCTAAACAATAAGCATCCCCTGCCTCTGCATATGGCCTTTTAGTAACTCTTTCCAACTCCAAAATTTGCATATAAATTTAGTGTTTCTGTTTTTCCTGTTTTAGGATTATTATGGCAAAGAGCTGAAGAAAACAGAAGATCTAAAAGCCAATGCCTGCCTTACTTCAGCAAAACCTGTGCCCAAACACATCAGAGAAGCAATGCAATGTGTTCATGAAGAAGTTTCAGCAAAGTACAGTATTGACTTCTTGAGTGAGCTTTGTTCTCACAATGAATTGTTTAAAAACTCATTATTACATTATTGTTAGGTGGCAAGAGAGGAGTTTTTTTTAAAGCCTTTATTTGTGCAGTAGTTGTACTCATTACCAGCACTGCAGCCAACAGGTTAGCACTGAAAACTTTAATGGACAAATCAATCAACCAAAGCTTTAACTGATAAGTCAGAGAAGGCAAATTTCAAGCAGCTGGACTAAACAAACAGCCACAACTCAGTTGTGGTTACTATAATAGAAAATGGAAGAGACTTTTCTTCAAACAGTTACTAGTACTTTACAGTTTAATCAGTAAATGTTATCTTGATCATCAGTTGATACATCAGTAGATAAATAAGAATCTGTATTAATTGGTCAATCAAAAGGTAGATGATTTATCAATTGAGTTTTAACATTGGCTAATGTATACCAAGGCAATTAAAGATAATGCTGAAGAACTAATAATGTCCTGTACTTTAAAAGGATTTACCCATGCTTGGAAGAAGTGATTGAAAATATGTATTATGTTCTGTATTGTTGTATCATATGGCAGAAGGGTGGTGTTAGGGCCCTTTTTGATATAATGCAGGACTGGCCATCTTTTATTTTAAAATTTAACAATTCCAGGCATGCTATTTTTAAGGCTGCACAACTTGCCATGTAAGCTGCAAAGACTGTAAACCATTTTGAAGATCTTGCAGTGCAATTTTTTGCATTTTTACTCAGCAGTAGGTTCCACTAGGAATCCTGCAGGGATGCTGATAGCAGTTAGGAAGCGTCTGGTTCAAGTTAAGTAATTCCTCGGGGATGATGAGGAAAAAGTTTCTTATTGCCCACATTTAAGAGGGGAGAAAATAACCCACAAGCTTATGCTAAGACATCATAACCAGCGTGAGATGCTTAAGTGTCAAAACATAATTAGTATGCACCTGAAGAAAGATTTTTTTGATGTTTCTATGCAATGCTAGATGCCTCAGAGCTAAAATAGGAAATCTGGAGTGCCTGGTTTTAAAAGAGAATCTAAGTATAAAGAGAACGCACGGGATGGGATCATCTCTAGATGTAAGGGAAGACATTACAGGGCATATTGAAGGAGTGTTGCTCTGTACTTCGATTCCTAACTTCAAGTATGGGCTGATGGGATCTGAGCTAGCAGTGACTTAACAGGAATGGGATCTTGAGGTTGTAGTAGACACTGATGAAGTCCATGTTAGGCATAATTAGCAAATGAATTGAAAGTAGAACTGCCAAGATAATACACCTCTTCTACATGTATTTGGTGTGACCACACTTAGAATATTGTGTACAATTTTGGTTGCTGCACATGAGAAAGGACATTGAGTTGGAGAAAGTGCAGAGAAGGGCAAGTGAAATGATGATGGGGTGAATGATGAAGTGAAATGGACCAACTCTCCTATGAGAAGCAGTTACACTAATGGATTGTTTAACTTAGAAAAAAGGTGAGTAAGGAGAGACATGAGAGGTGTTGAAAGGCTGAGAGGCAGGATGGTGTAGTGGTTAAGAACATGGGACTGAGACACAGGCAATCTGGGTTTTAGTGCCTGCTCAGCCACAGAGCCAACTGGGTGACTTTGGGGCCATCACAGATTCTCATCCCAACCTAAGTCACAGGGTAGTTGTTGTGGGGATAAGACTGAAAGTAGGAGGAGCAGAATGATGCAAACCACTTTGAGTTCTGTAAAAGAAAAATGCAGGATATAAATCAAATAAATACGATATTCATAGTGTGGACAAAGTGGAAAGTGAGACATTTTTCTCCTCCCATAACACTACACCTATGGTTATTCCATGAAGCTGTTTACTGGCAGATTCAGAATAGATCATAGGAAGTACTTCTTTACACACTGTGTAGTTAAAGTATGGTATTCACTTCCACAGGACATAGTGACGGCCAACAATTTGGATGGTTTTAAAAGGGGATTGGACAGATTCATGGAGGAGGAGGCTATCAGTAGCTACTTGCCTTGATGGCTATGTGCCACCTCCTTTAGTAGGGGTGGTATTGTATACCAGTTGCTGAGGAACTTGAGCAAGTGAAACACTTGTACCCATCCTGTTTGAGGAATCCTGTGGGGAGCTGATTTGCCACCATGTGAATCAGATGTTTGGTTGGATGGACCTTTCATCTGATCAGCATGGCTTTTTGGGTGTTCTTATGTTCAGCAGAGGTTACTTCATAATAACATATTTAGAATTGCATTGTGCAGTTTTGTACTCACTTACGTGGAGTCAATTCTATTATAGTTAGTGAGATGCATTTCTGAGTAGACTCACATAGGATTGTGTTAGCATGCAATTCTGTACCCATTTACTTGAGAGGAAACACCACGGTATTCAGTGAGCTGTATTTTTGTACAGTACTGTTCAGTTTATTAATTTGGAAGGGTTGGTATGACTGTCATTGAGTAGATTATTCATATTATTATTTGGCTCATTTGCTTGTTTTAATTTATCTAAATATGTAGCATTGTGATAATTTTGTCCACATGCTAAAACTTGGATTGACTTGCAAACCAAATTGCTCACCAGAGGTAGGAGAGGGTTGAGAAGCAAGCAATGCAAGTAGAATTTATGTAAGTCTTGCTAATATGGATTGGTTTGTGTTGATATGCTGTACTTACCACATCATCCCATTCCATTTGTCTCCATCAGCTTTGCATCAGTTATGCATTTCTTTTCCACCTTGTCCTTTCTTCAGGTATTATGGTTGTGGCCTGGTGATCCCAGACTGTCTAGAAGACTGCTGGATATTGGATTTGGGCTGTGGGAGTGGCAGAGACTGTTACATGCTCAGTAAGCTGGTTGGGGAGAATGGACATGTCACTGGAGTAGATATGACTGAAGCCCAGGTAGGTGCTTGTTCTTGAAAATTGGATTCAAGATGGTAATTTTAACATACAGTTGGGTAGAGGTGAATAGGGTACCACTGTGGTGTGGTGGTTAGAATGTTGGTTTAAAATTTGGGAGACCTGGGTAATAGTTTGCATTTGAACATAAAGCTCATTAGCTGATGTTTGGCCAGCCACCAGGTCTGACCCTAATATACCTTACTGTTGTAAGGATAAAGTGGAGAAAAGAACCATGCAAGCTGCCTTAGTTCCTTGTGAGAGGAACTGCAGGAATATAAATGTAATTTCTGTTTTCTGTCACAATGTTTTATTTTGATTTTATAAGAAATAGAAAAGACTTCTGAAAGCTTTGCATAAGAACAAGAAAAGCCAGAATAATATTTGGCATTGCTGTCCTGCAAAGTGTTCTACAAATTGGAAATGTCTTTGCCTCTCACTTTTCAGGGGTAGGCTAGGTCCTGGATTGACAAGGATGTCTGATTCTCAGTTGTTTGCAAAAAGCAACCTTGAAATAACCTGCCTGCTATCCTGTATTCTTTAGTATAGCTTGAGATGAAGAAAGCTGGCAGGAGGTTTAACCTCAATCACTTTTCATGTGCACAGATTGAGAGTTCAAAACTTGGAATCATTATCACTTTTAATATAGAAATCATTAATATAAATAGCATATGTGATACAAAAATAGATGACATAACCAGACATATTAAATAGACTATCATAAAAGGCATTAATTACCTATTAGAAAGAATAAGTAAATATAGCATTAAAATCTTGTCATATAAATTGCATGTATCACATAGATGGAATTGTTTAAATCATATGATATGAATGTATACATAAACAATATAAATAGCTTTTAAATAAATGATAATCTGCTTACCCTAAAACAGGACACCTAGCATTTAGGTCATACACACCATCACACACACTTTTTAACAACATATATAATTCATCTCAAACGCTGAACAATAATATTCTAATTCCTGGCTTGTCTCCCTCTCTTAGGTAGAACTGGCAAAGAAACACATTGATTACCACATGAACAAGTTTGGGTATCAGAAACCCAACATAAACTTTATCTGTGGCTACATGGAAAAACTGGGTGAAGCAGGTCTTAGGGATGACAGTTACGATCTGGTAATGTAGGTATACTTCCTAGTCTGTTATCCTGCAAGCTGATAGATATCAAGGATTCTGTTTGAAGTGCTGGTTCTAACTTCAGATGCCATACATCGCACATAATTAGAGATGTTATGACAACCCATCAAAGCCCCCAAATACCAGTGCCTCTTTTGTGGGTTTGGCCCAAATCTCAAATTCCAGGAAGCTGTGAATATTTAACAGGAATTTCTGTTCTAAGACACTGTTTCAGAGATTGAATATGTATGTTATGGAGGTTCCCAATTGATTTTGGCATAATGTTAATGCTAGAATAGGAGATTTCCATGGCAATATTAATACACACAGGAGCACTTATATAACCCTTTCTGTGTTCACATACTTTATTTCATATGCTTCTTCCTGTCCCTGAGGTTTTTAAAGAACATTTCCTCCCCAAGACCAGAAATTCAGCTGAAAAAGGTCCCTGTGTGGAATGCTTAAAAGGGAGAGTTAAGCACCGCTCCCTTTCTGCCTACTGCTTCTCTTCTGCACATGTCATTATTTATTTATAGAATTATTAATAGAATTTATAAACTGCTCTAAATGTCAGAAAAATACCCAAGCAATGAATGAAGCAGTGAAATAAAAAAGAATCAAGATGGAAGAGAATAAAGCAAATTAAAATCTTGTTATACTATGTTAAACTATGGTTGCTCATTCAGATTTATTTATTTACTGGATTTATAAACTGGTCTGTATCTAAATAAGATTCCTTAGCAGTGAACCATGAAACAGGCAAAGAATGACTCTCCCACAAACTCTTGCATTCACTTAATGGAACTTAAGTTTGGAACTTGCTTTCTGGTATTTGTACTGGCCTTATAGAGGCAAATTGTTTGTCTACGTCGGGCAGACATTCCTGCAACTGAAACAGTGCTGATTTAGCAGGATTCAGAGATGAAAGGAGGTTTGTCTAGCTGGGGTTTGGACTCGGTTTTAAAACAGCATGGTTAAAAAAACTGATAAACCCCCATGACCCCCTTTTTTAGTGCTGGCATATAACAGGAAAGCAGGTTTTCTTTAAAACATGAAATGTGCTTTGATATCTCCCGCCCCTTATTCTTATAAGCCCTACTTTAGGCTAGCCCTTGCCTGCATGATGAAATCTGCCCTTTGCTTTCCTACTTCAGGCTGTTTAAAGAACATTTATCTCCTATTTAGCTCCAATTGTGTGGTTAACCTGTCTCCTGATAAATGTGCTGTCCTACGTGAGGCTTATCGAATCTTAAAGGTAAAGTACGAGCTGGTTGTATATGCATGTTGGACACAGTAAAGACAGTACTGAGAAAACAGATGCTCTGAGTGGTGACAAGCAACAAAAGTTTACTTCTGGAAATAGTTTTAATCCAAACATAGTTACAAATTTGGTGTTGAACACACAAATCATTTGAACAGAAGCATCTGTACAGATCAGTACCTGGAAAAATTGCTAGTCAGGAATTTTAGTAGAATGAAACAGGTCAGGTTTATGTTTAGGATGGTGCCTAGGTCCTATTTATACTAAGAAAGGGAGGAGAATGGTTGACTTCCATGAACATGCCCTAGGTTGCCTCCGGAGACCTGGGATAATTTGTTTGAATGGGTGAGCTGTAGTGCTTTGAAGTTGTAACACATTCATAGCAAAGAATTCAACTAGCAGGGATCAAGGGGTTTAGTTGGCCCTGCACTCTCAGCCAAGCCACTTCTTTCAATTTCACCAGGTCACAATCTCTCTTCTTTCCACCATTATACCCTCACTCACCTGTCAGACAGAAGAATTTCTTTGTTTATTTACTGTTGACATTCTTCTTTCAGAATGGTGGGGAAATGTATTTCAGTGATGTGTATGCCAGCCAGGATCTGCCAGAGACGATCAGGAAACATAGAGTCTTGTGGGGTAAGTGAATGTGCATCTCCACATCCAATTCTGTATATCATGTTGAGAATCTAGCAGGAGCATGGCATTTCTCCATCAACAAAACATTTAGGATTGTGTTATATGGGAACTCTTCCCAAAGGTTAATGAGCAGTGAGAGAGTTTCCCCAAAGTGGTGTGTGAGCATTTATGAAGCAACTGGCAGTGACAGGGGTAAGATTGCTGAGAGCACCAAGGCTGTTTTGCTGCTCTTTCTGAGATGCTTATTTCCAACCCATGATGGGATTGGGCTCCTGGGTTCTGATGACATGACAGCCCATCATAGGTTCAACAACCCATACAATAAGTTGCCAGGGTAGTTTGGATTGCCAACTTGCAGGAAGCAATCCAGGTTCATACAATGCAGTGACACACTATGGCTAGTTACCCATGATGGGCTGTCATGTCCTGAAAACTCAGTCATTGTTCCTTTGAGGTGTTTCAAGCGTCAAAAGGAAACTGCTCCACAGCGTGACGATTGCAGCTTTGGGCTTGGGGGAACCTCCCTTGAACACACGTGTCAAAACTGCTTCCCACATGTGTGTTTAGAAGTCTTACATTTTCTTGAGTTGGAGCTTGCTCAGAATTCAGCTTCCTGAGGAAATAAGTGCTGCTTTTGCTAATTTGGGAGTAGGTGGACTTTAAGCCTGCAGGACCTACTTTTCCCTTAGGAGCCCAAACTGATGAGGAGACAGAGGATGTTCCAAGTCTTCACTTTTACAGACTACCTCAAGACTGCATTTGCCTACCTTTTTCACTGTGTCTCCTTTAGGTGAATGCCTAGGGGGAGCCTTGTGTTGGAAGGATCTCTACAGAATTGCTGAGCAGGTTGGATTCTATCCACCTCGGTTGGTGGCTGCTTCACAAATAACTCTTGCCAACAAGGAGCTGGAAAATCTTGTGGGTATGTGTTCTTATCTTCTGTTGCTCCATTCCACTGAGCAAACCACCTTAGTCCTATCCGGGGGGCAGAACCACTTTCACCCTGAAGGTCAAAAATGTTTGGAAACGTGTTTGGGGACCACATTGCAGGGGTATGGGCCAGAGGCACCAGGGGTAGGGTGAAATTCAGCCCTGATAGTGTATTATAGCTTGGAGGATTTACTGTCGTTTAAGCCTTAAGTGAACATTTGAGTTCTTGTATTGTGGGAATATTCACAAAAGCTGGGAAACCTCTAAATGGTCAGTAGTGGGTGGGGGAAGAGAGAGGCAAAGGAAAGGGGCATGGCCATCTGGGGAACATAAGAGACTTTAGGGGATGGGCCTTCTGGACCAACTGAAGTTTCTTAACAGATTTTTAAGGCAGCCCCATGTCTTACTGTAGTCTAACCTGGATATAACTAAGGCATGTGTGATTGTAGGCAGATCAGTCATCTCTGTGAACCGGTCCATTTGGCAAATGCACTCCTGGCCACCACTTAAGCCCGGGCATCCAGGTTCAAGGCATGCTCCAGGAGTATAGCCAAACTGTGCAAGCCTGACAGAAGAGTGAAAGCTCATGAAACTCAAATTGAACCCCTGTTTGCTGATCTGCCTTTTAGATGAAGTTTCAGTTTGTTTGCCCTAATTGCATCTAGTATGGCAGCAGTCACCTGTTTAGAACCAGAACAGTTTCTTTGGACTTGAATGGATGGGAGAAATAGACTTGGTTGTCCTTGATATACTGGTAGTAGCAAACCCCAGGCATCCATTCCCTGCAATTTTATATATATCTTTTATGTGGTAAATAGCATGGGGGACAAAGATGCTGAGATTATAAGATGATCTTATAGCGAAAGCCTTCTTTGTTCGTGTATGTTTATTTCTGACATTTTTATAGATAATGAGATTTAGAAATGGGAATTAAGCTGTTGCTGTTCCTCTTTTTCATTATCTGGTTGTAAGAGATTAGCTCAGGAAACCAAAGTAAAAATCATGCAGATGTATGAATTATAATTCCTCTCCCATCAGAATACTGGCAGCCTTAAGGGAAATAGTAGTGCTGTAGAACAAAAAGCAAGGTAGGAAGATGTGTACGTGTCTGTTTTCCTCCCCCTCTTCTGCTGAGGAGTTGCTAATTGACCTTGAGATAGCCTGAAGTTCATGCTGCATACAGTACAGCAAGGAGGAAGGGCTGTTTTAGCAGAAGAAAAGGTCACTCTTTTCTTCCTTGCCTAGACAAAGAGATGAGTTGGGACCCTGGATGGGAGCCAAGAGGCTCTGATACCTCTTTGTGCCATTTGATAAAGCAGGCTAAGTTTCTCCTTTTGCTGAAAACCATGAGATTCTCCAACAAGGGAATAATTAGAGCAATCCTATTGTATTTTTAGTTACACATGATGCTGATTGGGGAGAACAAAGTACCCTTATTAAGCCCATGACAAATTTCCAGATCTCATTTGGAGCACCTGATGCTATGATAGGCACATAATGTGAGCTGTCTTGGTAAAACAAGGCATCTGTGTTTTGCTTTCTAACTATTTCCTTGAATGATACCACTTAAGATTTTGTAAAATACAACTTACTTTTGTACTGCAGAGAACTGGCTGTGTCTGCAGTGTTCCACTGCCTAAATCTTTTAAAAAACTCAGTAACCATTTGAATATTCCAACTTAATGCAAACAGTGTTTTACCTGATGTGAGAACTTGGAAGCTGTCTACCTTGTTTCTTCCCTCAGCACCTGTGTGGCCCACAGTTAAGGTGGGAATAGTACTGTCTTGTTTTGACACTTATCGTGATGCAAACCTCTATGTTCTGGTTCTAGGTGATTGCAAGTTTGTTTCTGCTACTTTCCGTCTGTTCAAGATTCCCAGGGAATGTTCAGCTGGGTGTACTGAAGTTATTTACAAAGGAGGCATCCCAGGGCATGAGAGAGAACTAGAGTTTGACATCAACTACAGTTTTAAGGTACAGGCCTGGAGGATAGGACTATTTTCCAATGAGATATGAAAAAAATTGAAACTCTGGAAAGCATTAAAAATCACTCTGTGATTGCTAGAAGTTACAATTATATTTCTGCCTGATTTCTGGAGAGCTGGAGGATGCTTCTACTGTGACCTGCAAAATGGGTGTTAGTGGAAAATCATTGTCTTGTCTAGATTTTTTTAAAGGGGAAAGTACTGCTAGATTCTACACAGTAAAGTTGGATCGTGTACTATAAATGTCAGTTTTCCCCATGAGCGTTTTAGACATACCCTGGCACTGCAGTGCTTTCTGGGTTTATCTTGATGAATCAAGCTAAAGCTTCAGCTATCTATATGCTGCCCTGTCACTATTTAGCAGGGAGGGTTGTGGTACAGAATTCTCAGTACATGTTTCTGCAGTTTCACCGAGCTCTGTGTACTTTAAGTGCTGTTATGCATGAACAGGCCAAACTCCATGTTGTGCAGGCTACCAATGGTTGAATCTGTCTACACATTGATTTTGATTTTTGAAAAAACGAGCTGTGGGAGGCCCTACATTGGATTTGAGCAGAAATGGAACTTGAGTAGGGGCTGTTGAACCATTCCTTTCTCCACTAATTTCTCAATATAAAACACATGTTTATAGCTGCTGTTCCTTTGCTGATCATATGAGCAAGCTCTTAGCTGATAGGTTCAGGAATGTTGCAGTCGTGGACATTGGTGACTCTAGGGCAACTTGGCAAAAGAAATTGTAGGGTCATAATTGGAATGAAAGAAACTCTAGGGAACAAAGGAAATCTAGGCATTTTCTAATTCTTTTCTTCTTGACTTTCTTTTGTCTTCCTACAGCAAGGAGAAGTGGTGGATGTGGATGATGAGACAGCAGCTATTCTACAGAACTCAAGATTTTCTCGGATGTTCCTGATCCATCCAATAAGCCAGAAACTACTAACTCCAGAAGGATATTGTTCCAGAAAACTGAAGGTTAGTTTGATTCAGCACTCATAGATCATTCCTGAATCCCAAACAGGTCCTTCATATATACACATATATATGCAAAACCATGGTGTAGCTGGCCTTGGTAGCTTTACAATCATCCATAGAGCTGAAGTCGGAGTAGTTTGTGTGTGGGTTTTAAAGTTAATACCTTCGAACAGACAAGTAAAACACCATACTGGTCTTCAACTAAGGGCCTGGAAGATAAAGTCCATTCCTCCCAAGGCAGAAGTTAGATCTTGATCTATTGGTAAATCTCTGGGTAATTTCCAAAGGATTAGCAAGGATTTCTGACTCCCAGTTGTTTAACAATATCAATAACCAAATGACCATCCCCATCCTAAATTATACTACCAAAATTTAGAAATCTTGTAGGAAGTTAACCAGAATTTTTTTGTGAGCTTCCTTCAGTTGTGTTACTCAAAACAAATGCCTTGGTGCTATTTTAAAAAAATTTAACTGTATGTCTTGAGTGTATGGCTCTGTGAACCTTTACTTTCTTTTCTGAAGGGCCATTATACCCCTCCCCCATAAGGCCTTGGAATATGATAAATACAAAGTTAGCTTGGAATTTTTGATAATTCTGACAGTTCCTATTGTTCATAAGTGAAAAAGAGCTACTGCAACAGGATTTCACATTCTTGTATCATGGAGGCATGTAAATTGTTTTGTATTTCAGCTCTGAGGGCATGCATGCTGTATTGAGCCCATCAGAAAGTGTGTGGGAACAAAAGTGTTTCAACAGTTTAGAGCCAGAGGATAGTGTAATTTTAAAAGGATTAGGTATGATCAAACAATTTTATCCAACAGCACTCATCTCTTTATTCTCACTTCATTCTCTGTGGTTTCTGAGCCTTTATGCTTGTTGACTCTCATGTCACAGATCAGAATCTTTTTGCAGCACAGCATATAAAGGAAAATGTGCTATTCTTATTATGAGAAGTGGCACACTCTTATTCTAGAGCCTGAGTTGCACAATTTATTTGCTTTCTTGCAGATTTATAAACAACATGCTTGTATTTGCTGGTCAATAAAAACTAACATTTTGCAGATGAGAAATTGGTTGAAAGATCTTTAGTAACTTGTCTTTTCTGATAAACCCTTTTTGTAAGTTTCCTACTGTTTTATCTCTGTGGAGCATGTCAGCAGGATCAGTAGAAGCCCACAAATGTGTTCATCAGCTAGCTAATGGTGTTCATATATTTTCACTGGGATAGTGTGCAGTTGAGTGAGAGACAAATGTGAACTCATCTCTGTCCTTTTCCCGAGTGTTTGAAGTTTACTATGATAAGATCAAGGCCTTCCAAGATTGGGGAGGACAAAGATTGGCAGTAAGTTTGGCATACAGCAATGTATAGCTGGCTAGGCAGGGCCAGACAAAATCTGGGGTCTTCTCTTGATCCTTCCCCTTCAACCCTGACCCTGTTTTGAAACTGGCCTATCTGTAAAAAGCAGAATCTATCCTCTAGATTCTTCTGATGAAGGCAAACAGCTGTGTGTCCTAGAAAGGATAACCTTGTGTTTTTTTGGTATATGATAGGAAGGAGGAGGAGAGGTCTGGAACAAGAGAAACATTTCTTAGATAAACAGCAGAATCTTAACAAGAGATGCTGCAGGCTTAACTCTTCCTTTACCACACTTCCAAATCTAACAGGAACAAGTAATTTGGATTTTGTATGACTGCTGTGCAATTTAGGCTAAAACACCACCAATTAGAATTTCTGAGCCAGGGATGGATCAACTAGCAAGCTTAAAGGCAATTTCACAGTTACCTTTTTTGATATTCAGCTTTCTACTGTACACATTGGATGGGAAATGTAAAATGTAAGCTTTTCAATTCCAGGTTTATATAATTTAGAAAAAATAATGTGAGGCTTAAGATTATACACAGTGTGTGTGGTGGGGGCAGGATGGGGAATACCAAGTAAAATACCAAGGTGCCTATGTGTGACATTCAGATATAGAAATCTCAATTCCTGTTGTATGTTTTTTTCTGTATTTATGGCACTTTCAAAACATTTTCAAAAGTGGTTTGCTCACAAATAAGTATAAAACATTGTGAATGCACTAAACTCATAACTGGGATGATGTCACAGAAACTACTTTTTTCTTGGTGACCACCCACAGTCTCAAAAGGCTGGTGAGGAAGGGAACCTGAAGCAAGATAGGTCCTGGCAAGTGGGGCTGGTGACTCCTATGTCAGTGGGGATCATCTGAACTTTATAAAAGCTATTCATGGTGCTGTATTCCATCCCTAAAGTAGGTTCACCACTGTGTAATGCCAAGGCTAGCTTGTATAAAACACAAAAATAAAAGTTGCCATGGATATGGAACCCCACTGAGATGGGAATTACCAGGCTTTCCTGGTTCCACAAGTGGGTGGTCCTTTAAATATTGATGTCCCATGCTGTAAGGACCTTTACAGCTGGTGTGAAAAACTTATTTTCTGTCAAGGGTGGCATTCCTCCTAGGTTAGTTTGTCTGGAGCCTTGTGCCTGCAGAGGGCAGAGCTATAACCATGGGTAGCTGTCATTGCAGTGAAAAAAGATGGGGCTACTCCATTCCTGTCTCTCCTCTTCCCCACTGAAAATGCTGCTGGGTGGATCCCCATTACCAGCATTCTGGGCTGATTGACTGCAAGGGCTTCTCCAGTTGAGCTGCAGCAGGCATGGAAAGAAGGTGCTCCTCAGTTGGAGTTCCAGCTCCAGCCTTCGGACACATTTCTGAGGTCAGAACTGGAACCCCAACCTATTCTAAAGCCTTCAGGTAGCAGCTAATGCTCATAGGATTCTGCACCCTTATAGTAAATCTGAGCCTGAACTGGAGTAGATGGGTAAATTGCAAACTAGGTCAATGGGCAGGAAAATGGCAGCCGAGGGTCACTGTAAGTATAGAGTTGTTGCATTACTGGGCTATAAATTCTAACCAAATCTACCGAGCCAGCTTTCGGTACTCAGAAAAAGAGATATTTGGTTGTAGATTGCTTACTATCAATGTTTACTGAGTGCCAAAACAGCCAGGATGAAGGTGATCAGTGATGGTGTCTCACAATTTTGATTTTATATTAATTCATTTCATTTCTATACTGCCCAATAGCTGAAGATTTGTAGCTTTCAGCAGCAGGTTCCAGCTTTTTGAACGGGCACTCTGGAGGTGGCGTACCTTTCATTCATGCCATTTTCCCTATCAAAATCCTCTCCCCACACCAAATTGCTACAAGCAGTCCTGATGCCAGCTATGAACGGTAGTTTATCCAAGCCACCTCTCTTCAAAAAAAACCTTAAGCCAAGCCAGGCAATTAGCTTTATTGTAGCAAATATACAGGCACAATATTGGCCTCGTTGTCTTTTCCCCCTCTCCAAAAATAAGGAGGAACATGTTGTTGGTTTATAACTTACAAATGGTGGGGAGAGAGATGAAAAAGAGCATTTTTGTCCTTTTTAAAAATAAAGTTAGAACTTAGAGCCACCTGTTAAGAACGTACAAGGTGAACAGAAGGAAGTCCTATTTCACACAATGTACAATTACCATACAATATAATCCTATACAAATCTACTCAGAAGTAAACCCCACTGAGCTCAATGGATAGCTTATATAAATATACACCAGGTAGGTGCATCCTTAAGGAATTTGCTGCTAGAAGATTTATTTATCTGAAGTATTTTTATGCTACTCCTTGTCAGCTCTGGGACAGTGTCCCTCAGCTGGAACATGGGCCAGGGGTGAAGCAGGTGAAAGGAAAACCAAAGTTTACCAAGCTGCCATTGGACACAGGAAAGGCCAAACAGGACTGGGATTTAAACAAAAGTAGAATCAAAACTCCAAATATACATTTAACATCCAAATTATGGGGAAATGACAAATAGGCACTAATGTTCATGAACCTAGTTTTTTGTTTGCGCTGTTGCTGATACAACAATATCAACTTCATTTGAAATCAAAAACTGCCCTCCAACATACACATTTCCTTCAGTAGGTGTGCACAGTGTGTCGCCCCTAGATGTCTTGGCCTACAGTTCTCATCAACCCCAGCCAGCAGCACTGGTGATGAGGAATCATGGGAGATGTAGGCTAAAACATCTGGAAGGCCAAAAGTTACCCATCTGTCCTACAGAGCTTCAGACTCACAGATTTTAAAATAATTAGTGTCTTAAAGGAAAAGAAAGGAGCTCTGTGCTTTGAGAGGAGGCCCTGTCATGAGGCACCTTCACATGATGAAGCTTGCATGATATGTGTTAGAATTACATTCTAAATCTGCCTATAGAATTACTTTCCCTTATGCATCTGGTAGTCACTGGATTAAATTCTGACTAGATTAGTTACTGTTGAGTCTCATTTATTTCAACAGGACTTAAGGGCAGCTTACTTTGGTTATAGTCCATTGACTTTATTATAATAATTGTGCATTTTAGCCATGAATTTACCAGTAACTAGTCTTGCCAAGAAAATACTAGACTGAGTTGTAATATTTCTCTTTTAGTTAGTGTGGTTTTCTACCACACAATGTTAAGCAGTACTTAAATAGATTTCTACATTTTCAGAATCATTATATTTTATCTGGATATGAGTGTGTATATATGTATTTTGATACAAAGATATTAAAAATCTTACAAAATCATAAAACAGAAGATGTGATCCTCATGACTAAACAAGAATTTTGCTGAAGAGAAATGGCAAGTAATGGCTGCATGCTTGCTTTGTTGTTTCTATTGCTCACTAGAAATAGAAGCAAAATTGCTGACAGATCCATTTAGCATACCTGTTGGTATCTCACTGTATAACTGAGCCCTGAAAATGGACAGTGCAGAAGATGCAGTGCTGCAAAATGTGACTTATCTGTGAACACTGTAGAATTGGCTGGAATACCTTCTTATCCTCCAAAATCAAGGCTTCCATTTGAGAGCCAAATAACATTTATACCATGATATAGTTCTGAAATATATAACAGCACCACCTAGTGTACATACATACTTTTCTTCAGTGTTCACTTTATTTTGCTGTTAATGTCAATGCTATGAGAAATGTGCACAAATACCAATATTAAAGACAAACTGACTTCCTTCCTGTATAGATAGGGCAGATTAATGACCAATCAGAAGTTCAGTTGCATAGATTCCCAGGTTTCTACAAAGGCTGCGGCTCATTGTCACTTATTTAAGTCACAATGAGTCATGGTAGTCATGATTATTACTCTGAAAATTCAAGTCACAACTGCAGCTTGTTGGGTTGTGCAAACCTAGCAGGGGTGGGTTATACAAGGATTAAACAACCAGCACATAACCAACAGGCCATGCAGTCTGCATTGCTTAACCTTTGCACAATCCATCCCTGCAGGGTTCAGATGATACAACAAGCTGTGCTCAAAGCTTGAATATTCAGAATGGCCATGGACACTCACTGCAGCACACCATGTCACGAAGTGGGGTTACCATTTCAGCTTTTCTCTTGATCAGGGCTGGTCAACATGTTATTCTCCAGATGTTTTGGCTTACACATTCTATTATCCCTAGGAAGCATAGTCAGAGATGAGGTATAATAGCTGTAGGCCAAAACATTTGAATGGCCACAAGTTACCCTATCCTATTCTAGATGATAGGTCCCCTCCCATCCCCACAACTTTGGGCCACTTCTCATATAAAAAATGATATGCAAAAGGGAAAATTCATCTGCTTTTCACTGCTTCTGACCTATTCTGGTTTACATAAAACATTTACTTGAAGATTGTAGGGTATCAGTAAAGCCAATGTGATACATTAGGATTTTTAAAACTTTTTCTAACTTTACTGCAAAGAGAGGAGACAAGGAAATAAGCATGGGAATTACATGGTACATTAGAAGAAAATTTTAAGGGACACAGAACAATGGATCTGTGATTGCATAAGCAGGATTGGATATTGTACACCATCTTGGCTTTTTAGCAAAAAAGGTGGTATATAAATCTTAATACTTGGTAAATAAAATAAACCACAAAGCCTTGCTTGGCTAGGAACCCCACTGGGTACCCTTAGACTACTCAGTTTCTACTGAAATTATCCTGCAGATTTGTAGTGAATATAGGATAGCAATAGCAATGTGGCAAATGCATCTGAGGTAAAACATTCTCAGGGATTGGAGTCTTTTTTTCTGAGCTGCAAGCAACTTTCCATTAGTTGGAAGTACACCCTCCCCAGTTGTGTTACCCTTTGTGGCTGATTATACTGAATTCCACCCTCCCCCTCTGTTTTTACAGGAGAAGATCAAGGATCCATTTAAATTAGTGGAGCAGTTGAAGGCAAAAGACCCTGCCCAGTCTTCCTCAGGATGCTGTGGGTCCAAAGGATGTTGCTGAACCTTGCAGTGTACTATCAAAAATCAGAGTTTGAAAAGCAAAAGTGGAATACATTGAAAATAATACTTTAGAAGTGGGATTGTGGATTCTTAATAGCAAATGAAGGAATCAATTGTGGCATTTCTTTAGTTTATATAGTATTTTCTGAGTGAGAAACTTGATTAATGATCTTTGAAGGGTCCAATGATGCTCAGCTTTGAGAGGAAAAAATTGTGTTGCATGGTGAAATTCCCTGTTAAGTGAAGAGTGCTCTTTTTCCTTCTCTTGTATCCTTATCTTGTATTTGCAGTGTTTGACTGGCAACATTGGAAGGTGACCTGTCATGGATGCATAGACCTGTCCTTTTTGGAAGGGCTTATTTTTTCTATCTTCCTATTCTTTGTTATAGCACAGCTACTGGAAGATCATTGTTGGCTTCCAAGGTACTTTTCTCCAGCAAGTTTCCAAGCTTACACCTATATGAAATTAGTTTAACATGGCTAAAGCCAGTGGAAAGGGATGCTTTTATGAGAGTAACGTGGAACAAATACTAGAGAAGCAGCTGTGGTAGGTGAGAGAATTCCTAGATGAGCAGGTAATTTGCAGATTCATAGAACACTGCAGCCTGTTATCAGAGTGGTGGTGGAATGTGTGTCTGTGGTTACTGTGAAATGCAGGGGTAGGCCACCTTTTTAGTCATAAGCAGACTGGGCACTTTCTGAAATCATAATGTGCCATGCCACAAAAGGTGTACCATGAGAGCTATGGTAAAGGACAAACAACCTGCCCAAAAGACTTAAATTCAAGGCAGAATTGAGATAGTGCTTCCTCACAGTGCCATCCAGTGGAGGTTTTCCAAATAGCGCAAGGCCCTATACATCCTGGCCAAGAAAAAGAAGTGGTCACACCTTCCCTAGCCTGCTGTGACAACTTCACCCAGCACTTTAAGGAAAAAAATCGCTCAGATTGCCGCGATCTGGATCCACAGTTGATATGGTTCCAGTACAGGAAGTGTCCAGAGTGCCGTCTGGTCCATCATTATTGGATGAGTTTCAGTTATTGCGGCCTGGTGATGTGGACAAGGTGCTTGGAATGATATGCCCTACCACCTGTCTTCTTGACCCTTGCCCTTCTTGGCTGCTGAAAGGGATTGGTCCCTGGGTCCGGGAGGTTATCAATTTCTCACTGAGATGGCCCGGGTCCCTACTCCCTTGAAGGAGGCGGTGATCTGGCCTATCCTGAAGAAGGCATCTCTGGATCCAGATGTGGCCACCAACTTTAGACCAGTGGCCAACATTCCCTTTTTGAGTGAGGTGTTAGAGCAGGTGGTAGCAGGACAACTCCAAGCACTCTTGGATGAAATGGATTATCTGGACCCATTTCAGTCTGGCTTCAGACCTGGTTATGGTACTGAATCTGCCTTGGTCACCCTGTATGATGACCTATGCAGGGAGAGGAACGGGGAGTGTGTCCCTGTTGGTTCTCCTGGACCTCTCAGTGGCTTTCATTACCATCAACCATGGTATCCTGGATAGGCTGGCCAGGCTAGGAGTTGGGGACACTGCTTGGCAGTGGTTCTGCTCTTACCTAGCTGACTGATTCCAGAAGGTGGTGCTGAGGGACTATAGTTCTGCGCCATGGCAGCTTTGCCATGGGGTTCCGCAGAGCTCTATTTTGTCCCCCGTGCTCTTTAACATCTACATGAAACTGCTGGGAGAGGTCATCAGGAGGTTTGGGCTGCGGAGTCACCAGTATGCTGATGACACTCAGCTCTACCTCTCGTTTACATCTACTCCAGGTGAGGCAGTGGCTGTACTGAGCCAGTGCCTGGCTGAGGTAATGGGCTGGATGAGGGCCAATAAACTGAGTCTCAGTCCTCTTGGTGGGTGGATTGAGGTTCCAGGGTAAGTGATTTTGACCCTGTCCTGGATGGGAAAGCACTCCTTCTAAAGGACAGGGTCCACAGCTTGGGAGTACGCCTTGACCCGGAGCTGTCAGTGGAAATCCAGGTGGCAGCGGTGGCGAGGAGTACTTTCCTACAGCTTTGGCTGGTCTATCAGCTGCATTCTTACTTGGACAAAGACTGCCTAGCAATGGTGATTTATGCTCTGGTAACCTCCAGAATGGATTATTGTAATGCACTCTACGTGGGGCTGCCCTTGAAAATAGTCTGGATACTTCAGCTGGTACAGAATAGAGCAGCCAGGATGCTGACAGGGACCAGTCGTTATTCTCATATAATGCCAGCTACATTGGCTCCCAGTTGAAGTTCGGCCCAATTCAAGGTGCTTGTTCTGACCTATAAAGCCCTGAACGGCTTAGGACTGGGATACCTGAAGGAACGTCTCCTTCCGTATATGTCCTCACACCCCTTAAGATCTGCAGGAGTGGCCCTACTGAGAAACCTCCCTGTAGGAGGTAAAAAGGGCATCTATTCGGAGTAAGGCCTTCTCTGTGGTGGTGCCCAGATTATGGAATGTGCTCCCTGGAGAGGTTTGCCTGGTGCTGAGTTTATATTCTTTTTGGTGCCAGGTCAAAACCTTTTTATTTAACCGGTATTTTAAAAACTAGTATTAATGTAACAGTCACATTTTATTGCTTTTACCGCTTGGATTATTTTAATGTATGTGATTTTGTTGATTGTTTTAATGTATTGTGAGCCATCCATCTCTGCCTTGTATGGGGGATGCATACAAAATTTTTAAATAAAAAATAAAGAAAAATATGACCCTCAGTATGCTAAACTCTTTTGAAACAGTAGAAACTTGTTTCATAGCAGTTCCAGCGGTTAGTAAGAAAGTGCTCATTTTTCAAAAAATGTGGGAGGGGTAGGGCACCTTGGTAGAGACCAAAAAAAGGTGTCTGAGATGTGTTGGTGCCCGTGGGTCTCACCCTGCCTATTTCTTGTTTAGCACATTTCCAGTTTAGCACTCAATTACTGAACCAGAAGTGCTGGCAGATATGTGTAGGGGGCATCTTTCCGTTGCATGCAGGCCACCTGGAGCAATTGTTCTCTTCAGGATGTTCCACTGATAGCAGGTTTGTAAGTAGAGCAGCCCAGCAACTTCAAAACTTATCAGATGATTATATTGACATTGAATGAGAGAAGTTGATGCCTGAAAACATGCTTATTATTGGTTTCTACCTTGGTTCCTATTGTTGAGGAAATTGTCCAATGTGAAAAGAGGCATATAAATTATAATTACATGATAAATATAACAGTTTTATTTGGAAAAAATGCAGTTAAGTTGATAATATCAGCTCTGTGCTTCCTTGTCTTGGCTGAGCTTTTAGAATACTAACCAGAACTAAGATGGGCAAAGCAGAATATATATAGGAGGCAGATCTTGATCATAATGTGATAAAAGCTTTTGATTTTATGGTTTAAATGATGTTATTCTGATACATTTTATTGAAATTTCATGTTGGAAAGAAGTGATTAATGCACATAGGACAAAACAAAGGGCCAGAACATGATGCCAGAACTGATGAAGAAAGCAACTTGTTACTCAAAGAGACTGCTTTATATACTCTTCTCCCACTACTGTTACTGAACATATTTTTGAAAATGTTCCTGCTGGGATACTTTCTCTAATTAATTTTGGTATCAAAGGTGATCTTTAGGGTAAGAATGAAAATGCTAATGCCTGTGAAAGCGGTCTTCATTAAAAAGACATGAAATCTTACTGCTTCACCAGTATGATTCCTCTTTCAGATATGCATTTGTTAAAAGGTCCTTGCTAAATGCCAGGGCATTTGCCATACTTCCTGTTTGTGTTAGTGCCTGGTAGGTCAGCAAGGACCAAGAAGTTAAAAAACTTCTCACATTCTTCCTGATACTGAAGCAAAGCTTTCTTCGTTATATAAATATAGCCTTAGTTTTCTTGAAATCTGAGAGCTGGTTCACACATACAGGTTTGTTGCAATCATTGCACTAATTAGTGATCACTTTTTATTATTAATTTTATTTCCATTCTGCCCAGTAGCTGAAGCTGTCTGGACAGTTCACATTGTTTGAAGTATAATAAAAAGATGCAATAAAAATACAAATAAAGCACAGTATAAAATTTCAATATACAAATGTAAAACGATTTAAAATTCCAATACACAATACACAAAATTCCAATACACAAAATATAAAGCAGTTTAAACAGCTAAAATAGCTTCAGTAAAACTAAACCTAATTCAAACAGCTGACATAACTCATACCACTGGGTGCCTGAAAAGATGACAGTGTAGGTACCAGGTAGGCCATAGTGGTAAGATCATTCTATAATTGGTGGACTTTCACTGAGGAAGCTCTCCTCCTCGCCTCTTTCTGGGCCTCCCTTGGAGTAAGCAGCTGAAGGAAGGTGCAGATTACAGGGTTTAGGTAAATTGAGGTTGGGAGATGTGTTCCATCAGCTAGGTGGTTCTAAGCCATGGAGGGCTTTATAAGTTAGAACCAGCACCTTGAATTTGATTTGCAAGTGTATAGGCAGCCAATGTAAGGACAAAATTGTTACAAGTTTGGACCTTCTGGTCCCAGTTACTAATCTGGCTGCCACATTTTGCACAAGCAGCAGCTTCTAAGCAGTCTTCAAGGACAGCCCCACATAGAGTGCATTGCAGTAATCTAACACAGAGATCACCAGAGTGTACATTACTGGAATCAGGCTCCCTGTCCAGCCAGCAGCCAAAGCTGCTAGAATGTTCTCCATGCTACTGATGCCACCTGAGCCTCAAGTGACAAAAATGGATAAAGGAAAACTCCCAAGCTAAAAACTTGCTCATTCAGTGCAACTCTATTCAGAACAGGTTGAACACTCTCCATCTGGTCAGTGAAACCACCCACTAACAGCATCTCAGTCCTGTCTGGATTGAGCTTCAGTTTATTAGCTTTCCTCCTGTCTATTATTGCAGCAGGCAGAGTTTAGTGCACCCACAGTCTCACCTGCTGTGAAGGTGAAAGAGAAATAGTATACTGATGGCAACCCACTCCAAAACTCCTGCTAACCCCACTAAGCAGTTTCATATAGATACTAAATAGCATAAATTTAACTTGCAAATGTGAATGTCCCATTACAGATCTAATGCTAGAAGCAGAGGTTT